GGCCCGAACGCCCTGACAGCCATCAACATTGCATGGTACGTGCCGGTGCGGCCACAGAAGGAGAACAGCTCCTCACAGCCGATCGGTAGCAGATTGGAATGGACAGAGGCAGGTAAATCAGCAAGGAAAGAGGCCTGTGACTCAGCAGTGGGGGCACATCAGATGAGGAGGCAAAGGTCATGTGGCTCCCTTCGTTCTGTTTCGAGACTGCCGTGAAATCTTACTACAACGCCCGTGCAAAATGCGCCAAACCTCTATTCGACGTTGACATAGCAATGGGACTCTTCAGCCCGAGGAACTGCGAGTTTGTGAAGGAAATATTGGATTCAAACGCATTAACATCCTGGAATCAGTTCACAATTGTTGTGTCTTTTTGTGACACATATATATGACACTATATATAGTGTCACAAATCTTCTGAGTGATCTGCAGGTTTGGCGCGGCATTCCTGCTTGGGCACGATGCCGCTTGTTCACAACAGCTTTTTCCAGGCATGGAAAACATTGATCAGGAGCCTCATCCCAGAGCTAATGAAAATCATGGACTCACCAGACTTTGATAAGTCCAGAATGCAAGTGCTGCTGACTGGACATTCCATGGGAGGGGCCATTGCCCTATCGGCAGCCTGCGACTTCCACAGAATCTCGGACTTGAGGCGGGACCAGGTGTGTCTGTGTACACTCTAGTTTGACCACGTGTGGGCAACCATGCGTTTGCTGTGGAGTATTCCAAGATTGGGCCAGACACAAGGCATGTAATGAACAGTACTGATGTCATAGCCAAGTGCCCAAAGTTGTGGTTTCTTTACAAACACCGCAGACGCAAGGTGGTCATCAACACGCTGGGCAGGTAATCACGAGACCCACTTCCCTCGAAATGAATCTCACCACTGCATTTTCCAAGAAGCACATGCCTCACCACATCTGTCCAGCTACAGGAGCCTGGCTGCGATTGCTCGTGCACAGTGCGTTACGAACAGGGGCCTCCCTGGTGGGAAGAATGGTGTGGTCGAGCCAGTGAGAAAAGGGATCCTGACTTTGGCCCGTGGGGTGGATGTAAGCTGTGTTGCTGAGCTTGAAGCTTGTGGCAACAGTGTGTGGGAGACACAGCGAAACTGCAGTGTTGAAAGAGCGTTAATCGTAATTCAGATGGCGGCCTGGAGGCTGTGTTCTACACTACGTCAGCCTGTTGCACACTTAAGTGGCGAAGCAGATGACAAGAGCCAGATCGTATCGCAGACTGGAAGAAGTCTGGAACAGAACCCCATTGGGCTATTCGCTGTCTCAGTTCGATGTGAGGACGACAATGGTGTGAAGGCTGGCCAGAAATTTAAATCGGAAAGCAGCTATAAATTATGGCAGGTCCGAAATCGCTGCCATCATCGCAATCTTATTGCGCAGCTTTTCTTTTCAACTACAAGTGCATGACTCTTGCTGTGCATGTGTGCATGTTGCGGCCAATATCCCATACCTGCGCAGTGCACCAGCCTGCACTCTACAACGTACTTCGTCCAAGATTAATTGCCCTCTGTGATTTGGGAACATTACTACTCCATTTTGGGGAAGACACTATGTCGAAATTGTTACGCTCAGTGTAGATTTGACGCCTGGAGATGTCCGCCTTTCCCCCATGTCAATATTAGAGACAAAGGCAACAAAATATCCAACAATGGCACATGGTCATCTGCCGGAAAGAAAACACAAAGGGGCTAGGATCACGTAGCGTGGAAAGCTTGCTGCCACCGTCATACACATATTATGATAATTGTAGCTATCATCAAGCAAAGCTCTGAATCACTAATAAACTTCGGGAGGAATCTGACAAGGTATGCAGGCGACGAAGTCAAACGGCCCCGGGACAGCAAGTTGCCGATAATTACGCACAGGTACAAGACATGGTCGGCAAATTAGGTGGAACTGCAGTGAATCGTCGTCAGCTTTGATGCCAGATACCCTGACAAACAAAGGATACCTGACAAAGGATACTTTCTACTAAGAGCAGGCGTTGAGAAAATGCCTCTACGTTTCTTTCCATGTGTCTCGGGCAGTGAGCTGATCCGTCGTTGGCCTGTGCCAGGACATTTCGATAATTCAAGGCTTCGTGGATCCAAAAGACGAGGCCTTTAGGGATATCTAATGGCGGGCTACAAAGATTCGCCGAAGCTTGCAGCTAATTGCTTGACCATGTATGCACATGATTAAATAATTGACAACACAGGGAATGTGTCCCAGGCTTCGCCCAGGCAATGCAGTGTGTGCAATTGCATCCTCTGCGCATTGTGGATGAGGAGGGTTACCAAGTTTCAGATATGCTGTACATGCTATCTGTGGTCAGCAAACCAACCCATCAGTGGAACCGTCGCTACAACGACAGACCTAGCTGGCTGGGCCACTGTCGACACCCACGCAAGTATAGTGGCAGGGCCTCAGGCCATGTACGCATGGCCACGGGCACTGGCACACAGATAATCCGCAAGGATTTTGACACTGAGAGGCCATCAGAACACTGCCTGCCCTGCTGAAGCGCTGGAAGATGTCACTCGAATCTGAGCGCCATACGGACGCAGTTCGATGTGGTGATATGTGCTTTTCTGTTCGGTGGGCTGCTGTCCGAATTGCCGTTGGTATTTTGTGGGACCGTTTGTCAGAAATTGTCCCCAGTTCGGTCAAGCTTTGCTGTACACCTGAACGACATGAAGATGTACACAGTAGTAATGTTTCAGAAAAAGGAACATTTCAAAGCTCAAGCTAGTGCTCATAGTGGCAATGTCCAGTAAGACAGCAATCTGTGCCATGCATATCGGGATGCACAGGCATGGTGTGCTATGCAGTCATAGGCATGAATGATGGGCACGAATGCAAAATATTAATGCAAGTATTCGTATTGGACTTCGAAGATCATTGAATGCCGCACAATGGAGACTCAAGATCGCCAGTGCCAAGTTGGTACAGCCCCACGGTGGTCGGCCACGCACACAATGCTGAATTCGATGCATGCACGTGGAAAAAGACCCCATGCATTTTCAAGTCAACGCTGTGCGAATCATTGCAAGTTCCAGCGATTGTATGGCCTGCATGCTGATTTGCGTGCACACCTCCGCCATTTTCGATGGCAATTTTCCACACTGTGCCTACCCCTGGAGAGAAAATGCCACAACACACCAAGCCAGAGTTTTCGGTGGCGCGGCTGCCTGAAGGTTCAGGGCCTGAACCTTGGGGCTATCGATCGTGGGAAGCGTACTCATTCGCGACGTGCAGCCGGTCAGCTTGGGCGCTCCTTGCACGGTCTCTCCTCATTACAGGGCAAGTCTTTCAGTTCGCCCCGTGGGTGTGAGGGCCGGCGATTGGACGGTCATTCAATTGGGTGCGTCGTCACGCTTGCGCAGGCCGCGTCCCTCCTGCCCCGAGCCGCGTGCTTCCAAAGAGGCCCTCCATTATCACAATGACCCCAAGGTCGCACACCGGTGGGCTGACGCCCCCAACCCGGTGCCCGGCAGCTTCTTGGGGCTGGAAGCGTGCCCGTCTGAGAATCCCCCCCTCGGGGCTAAGGGGGTGTGCTCAGTCGACAATGCCCCCGCATCAGGTGCAGTTCGCACCATCCGCACCCGCACTCGCCTGACGTCCGCGAACGACCGGCGTCCGCGCCTGAGGGGCCCTACGGCTGCAGGGGAAACGCGCAGAGGGACAGCTCGTGGCGGTGCGCTTCGCGACCTGACTGCTGAGGAACGGGGAGGCGCCCGGGGACGGTAAGATGAAGGTCGCGGGAACCCGGGGATTTGTCGGCGAATAGGGGGTGCGCCGGCCATCGCGGCGCGCATTCGTCGCTGGTAGGCGGCCTGCGAGGCGCAATCCGCGGGGGCTGGTGCGATCGCACCCCAGCATGATCGCCGGCGGCCGCGCGGTGACTGCCCTTATGTTGAGGATCTGCATCGGCAACGGCTTGGGTGTGTCAAGATCAGTGTCAAGGCCGCTCAGCCTTTTTGACGGCGGGCGCGTGCGACGGTGCCGGAGGGCTTCTCCTTTGGGAGAGGATGCGCTCCAGCGGGACTGTGAATCTGCCTGTCGCGGGCGCCGTAGATGCCGCTGCCCGCACGTGCAAGGACGGGTCCTGGGAGCATACAGAGCCGCAACAGTACATGCCGTGGATGGCGTCAACGCGGGGCGTGGCCGCGGCGAAATTCGACCGGCTGACGCGTGTGGGCCCGGAAGCGTTTCCTGCAGAATGCGTTCCCGGGCGTACTGCTTCATGAGCAGCATGGCCCGTTGTCCTTCTCTCCCTATGTTGCGCGCTGTTGGTGCGAAATACTGTGCTTGTGTAAATCAGCCTCCTGGCTGGAACCAGCGATGCAGTGCTGGGGGGGCGTGCTGCGCCGCGATCGGGAGGGTGTGGAGAGCCGTGCGGAAGGATGGGGTGCATCCCCTCGGGGTACAGCGCCGTTTTCTCGTTCATTGTTGCCTCAACAACAATGAGGCAAAGTGGCGTGCAGAACGCTTCTGTTCGAGACCATGTTGTCGGTCTCGTCTTGCGATGCCTTGCCATTTCGGACTGCTCAATACCTGAAGGATGATTGTGAACAGATGATATCATTTTGGAAATAAGGTTCGCCCTTCCATGTAATCCACCTCTGGGAGGGTCGAAGCGAGCACTGCAGTCTGCAACCAATACGTGCGCCGTGGATATTGTTGTTCCATACCAGCATCTCCCGTTCTCGCGCAAAAGACAACTTTGGTTCATGGCTGTGCCTCCCCGAGCCCACCTGTTGTTTCTGAGAGCAGGATTCAATAATCATTACTTTGCAGAATCGGGCCGTCTTCCACTTGGACAGACTTCTCGGTTCTGTTCCCAACTATTCCGATGGTGCCGCAGGGTCGTTCTGTTGGATGTGACAGAGTGAGCACACCACTCCAGTGTGAAAATTTTGGTTGCACGTTGAAAGACGAGGCAGCAATCGAGGATTCTGTTGGTTGAGCGTATCAAAGGCCCAGAGCCACCAGGTGGCGATGCAGGATGCAGAAGATGTGAAAGACGATGACTTGGCTCAGCTGTCAGGACGCAGCCAGTTCACCAAGGTGGGAGTGAGACCCAGCTCGGCTTCACGGCTTACTGTGGCGTTCTGGACGGGAAGCAAATGTTGTCAACAGTCATTGCCGCTGCTGCTGCAGAGAAGACCGAAACCAAATGCGCAACGATTGGGCTTGTCCCTTCCGAAACTGTGCCTGGAGGTGGTTATGATAATTCTCACAACCTCAGAAGTGGGAAATGGTGCTGGTATTTGGGACAGGTGGTGCCCACGGGGCGTACTGGAGTAACAGGGAGTCAACGATGTGTTGAGCAAATGCGACCTGGACCTCATCCTGGCAAAAACAAGTCAAAGGATAAGAAATGGGTCTTGAGCAAGAAAAGAGGGCCAGTTCATCGAGCCAGCTAGTGCTGTTTCTGATGTGAATTGGCTGTTGATTCCTGTCTCATTTTTGGCTAGGAGCCTGTCATTGTGCTGTAAACAATAGTACAAAAGAAATCACCGTCACCCTTGTGGACTCAAAGGAATGTAAGCAGCATTTTGTCTTGATTTTTCCAACTCCAATCGCACCTGTTGACATGTTGGTGAGCAAAGGAAATGTTTTCTCAAATGACTCTTGCACAGCCACGCACAGCATCACTATGGTGCATTGATTGTTTGCGGCAAGCTTGTGTTGGTGTGTTGCTGAATTGCTCCCCTTTTGATGCATCTGGCAGTGAGGTTCTTCTGTACTGCACAGGGTGAGTGCATGCTGTGCATTACCTGGATCTCTGGCCAGCTGCTCAAGGGACTGAAGGGACATGAAGGCTTTAAAAACAAGGATGACACAGTTTCAGTAGGAAGAGTTTTGGAAACCTTGGAGTCTGAACGTGCCAAGGCGATCACAGCCTGTGAACGTCTCTTATCACCCACAGAGCCAGCTGCTGGTGTGCAGGAGCTAAGCTCTCAATACTACAGCCTTGAATTCACACACGACTGCTGGTGAGAACAAGTGTGGAACTTGGTTGCAATATGTTGCTCCATTGTCAGTCTCTGCAGCCTGCGCTGAACAGATACATCTTTTGGTCCGTCATGGTGGTATCACAATCTGAACAGCCTAACTTTGCACTGGGTCGAAGTCGGACAGCTGAAGGGCAATAAATGGTCTGCAAACTACTGGAAATGTTGCTGTCAAGGAAGGTGTTGCTTGATCCAGCCAGCACAGAGTACAGTGCTATGGGCCGTCCTACAAGTGCCTGACGCATTCTTTGGTTGTGCCATAGTGCATGGGGTTGCCTCAATCCACGGTGTGATTTGTGCGAAAAGAATCCACGCAGACGATGTTCCATTCCATTTGAGAAGAAATATTTTAAAGGAGATCCTGTCAAGGCAAAATGTGGGGCTTCCATTGCTTTGGAGTTGATCGATACTGCATCCAGCAAGGTGGCCGAATCTGCAGATGCTACACTGGAGGTGCGGAGCTGAGTTTGTGTGGACAGGACGTTGAATATGAAAGGAATTGATATGTTATCTTGTGGCGTCGAATTGGCTTTACAGCACATGGGAAAGTCAGCTGCAATATCGATTCTCGTTGTGTGCATTCCTTGATCCATCCAGTGTTTTCTACTTTCAACACATGCCATGCCGCGCATGCTGAACAGTTTGGCTGTCTTGCACCCTCCAGTTGTTCATTGTGGATGGCAACAAGTACGACCAGACATTTCCAGATGGTGTGCAGCGGGGCCAAGATGAGGCTCTGAATGCTTGCGCACTGCTGACTGGCAATGAGGTAACAAGGACAAGCACATTGAAGCCACGATTCACCCACCTTGCACAAGGCACAATGGACCCCTGCTTTCTCCACCTTGCTGAGTGAAAGAACCAACTGTACTGTGCTTGATGGATAACGCATATGTGATGCGTACTGTGCTCACATTGCAAGTTCATAAACTGCCAGTTTCTCCATTATGATGAACAATATTGAGCATTGGCAATAATTATTTTTTTACAGGTACTGCCAGCTCTATTTGTTTGCTTTGGGATCCAACAGGCTTGTAGGATGCCCTGATCGCGCACTTGGCAAAGGCAGCATTTGCATAGACCCTTGCTGATGGATGTTATTTTGTGCCATGCACATCAGAATCGGCAGCTGTTGGTGTCAACAGACAAGAGCGCCAACCATCCTGATGGCAAGGTCCTCATCGCCCTTCAGGTAAGTGTCGCGTGTGGTTCAATTGCTCTACCAAGGTGCCCACTTCAGTCCAGTGTCTTGGGCATGCGTAAAGGAAAGTGCATATCATGATTTGCGTCCTCAAGCCTTTCTTTCCTGCCTTTTCTGGGGTTCACTGCCTTTACTGCATTCCTGGGAGAATTCTGGACAGTCCCTGCTTTGTGGATTCCAAATGAAGGGATGATCTTAGCATACTCAACCTTACTTTTCAGGTTACTGAATTGTGAATTGTTTTTGTGTAATTTGAGATGTTGGGTTGGCATCTGTTCCTTGTGGAAGGTGCTGTAACTAGAGGAGTTGCATGTCATAAGTGCATGCTTGTTCCACTATGCTGTGTTCCAAAACTGAACGGTGTGTATGGGGCCTCCTTCAGGGCGGCCGTGCAACTCTCCCAGAAATTATTGTCACCCAGAGCAGCGAAGCCCTCCTGAGCGGCAGAAGACCACCTTTCAGACTTGTTGCAACGTTGTCCAAGGAGTCAGTCTCCATCAGCCCTCAACAGACTGTGCCAGCTGTATCGCTGGGTTTCGTGGTGGCCTCCGGTCGATCACGACTGGCCCAGAAAAAATGCATCCCCTCTATGGATGATCCACTGAGCAAGTTAGAGCACATGGGAAAGGAACGAGTGAGGAAATTAAAGGATTTGCAAATAGCATCAGCACAGCTGCACCTCTCTCTCCCTTCCTCATTGCCTGAAGAGATAACCAAGGTGCGTTGGCAAGCCAATACACATGCGACCACATTCGTGCCTGGGGTGCTCAACTGGGTATGTCAAGAGACTGAAGGCAAGAGAGCAGCCTTCCTCCTAGCGAATGTCGAAATGGATCCCTTGAGACCAGAAGCATGAAAACTGGACTGCCCACGCAGCGGAAACAGGCGCATCCATCTCATTGCCCTGGTGGTACATCTCTCATCGGACCTGATGTGAAGCTATGGTGACTGGTAGTGTTCACCGTGAACTTGGCTTGCACAGCAGTGGCATGTGGTGTTGGGCAACAGCTGGCAGCTGGTTGTCTTGTGGGATTAGTGAAACAACACAGAGCAAGTGCTGGCACACTGTCAATCCTGAAGAAAAAAGATCCTGATGAATCAGTCAATTGAGAGCCAGACGGAAATATGTGCATGTGTATGCGAAATGCAATTTTCATATATATATATATATATATATATATATATATATATATATATATATATATATATATATATGTGACATATGACCATTGGAGCTGCACAGCCATGTAAATTAGCACTGAGGAGGTCACATTGGCTGAAAATATGGCAACATATTCAAGAAGTTTATTTCGCCACACATACATACTGCTAGCGAAAAAGCCCTGCCTTCCATGGTATACTGGGCTGCTGTTCAGGGTGTGGGTTGCCCCACTCACCTGAAGCAGACCGTTGCTAGATCTGCTTGTGGAACACACTGTGCCCCATAATTGGGTCCTACCCATTCCTGAGTCCTTCAAGCATGGCATTGCAGGTTGGACATTTCAAGAGCCTTGTTCTGCAAGCCGACAAAGATGGCCACCTGAAGCAGAGGCTGCTGCATGTGTTGAAAATGAGTGACAAGGCATGGGACGAAGCCAGGGACCATGCACTGGCAGCAGTTGCAAATGACACGCGGATGCGGGCATGGTACAAGAACGATGCCAGTGACCAAACTGACAAGGACGGCAACCTGGGCCTAGTGTTTGTCTGCCACCTTGGTGAAACAGACATGGAAAGACCAGTCGCACTCATTCGAAACAATGATGTGATCAACAAAGATCGACAGGGGCCTCGAGAACGGGAGCTCGTGGGACAGCTGCAGGCGGAGGCACTTGCTGCCTGGCGACGAGACAACCACCCAGGGTGGACGTTCTACCCATTTGACTCTGAGGATTATGCACAGGTGACAGTCAGTGGCACTTCATCCTGCTCGTCCCAGCTGCATTTCGTGGACCATTCATGAATAGTGAAATAAGATTCAGAGCTACAAGGTGCTGCCACTCAGGGATTCAGGGTGCTGTCCTCCATCGTTTGCGTGATCGCTCACGTTTGCATTGCCTGCTGCACAGGACCCAAGTTCTCTGCCGCCCCCTGGAGCTGCTCAGCACCCCAGTTTCAGGCGGCCTGGACGTCAGCAAATGTCAGGTTTAAGCTCCAGGGAGCTGTGGCTGCAGCCAAGGGACAGTGCCATTGCGCATACGCCAGAATGGTACCCATACTCAAGGGGCGATTTCTCCAGTGTCCGTTCGTCTGGCGAGTCTTGGGAATCTGTGGAGAATACAAAGAAGCGGAAATTGCAGGGTGGTCCTCATGTGCAAGGTGTGTTCAGCGCTCCAATCACACCTGTTTTATGTGACATCACAATGCATGTCTGCTGTTCGCTTACAGCTTTCTTTAGCCACTGTTCGATAGCAACCACAATTTGGTTTACTCCGGCCTGGCCGCAAGGCTGCCCCTTGTTGCAGGCAATGAGGTGCTGGCTATATCGCCTAATGTTTGCGGTCCTTTCGTGTGACACAGATGCTCCAGAGGCCCGCCTCCCACCGATGCCCCCCCCAGCAGGCTTTGGCCCTGAAAACGCAAATAAACCTGCAAATGTGCAGCGCGAGTTCGATCGGCTGAGATCGTCCACCCCCAAGCGTGGCCATGGTGCCATGGTGAAAGCCAGAGACTGCATTTCGCTTCCTGTTCATGGATTGCCCGGCCTGCAAGAGTTGCAAGGCCACCTAATGTCTGCAATGGAACGCCGCCAGCACGCATCAGCAACACCATGGGTGGGGGTTGAGGGGAGTGTTAACCATGGGAGCTCAAGGCGGGACCAGGGCTCAGAGGGTCCTGCACGGCTTTTGACTGGACCTGACGCGGAGTTCTATCAGCACAGAATTGCATCTACGGGGCAGTTCTTGAGCCACTTACAGCCCCTCTTGGCTGCCTGCTCACAGCCAGCCCCATCGCAAGGGTCCCCCAGCAGCATGGCCTCGACTGGGAGGCACATAAGCGTCCAAAGTAGCATCCATGGCAGCGTCCAAAGCAACGTGCACCAGCAGGGCAGCAGTGCTGCAGCACCGATGTCTGGTGTTGAGCTTAGCGGGGAGGAACGGTTGGCAGCAGGGAGCGATCCCATGGTTGTAGATCAGCGGCCTGAAGGTGAGCCTTGCTCCAGGGGCCACAACAGGAGGGAGGGAGCGCTTGCAGCAACATCCCTTCCCGTGCTTGCATTGGCAGATGTTTCGCAAGGCCTGGCCGCCTCAGAGCAAGGTGCCAGGAGTCCAGCGGCAGGAATGGATTTGAGTGGTGCAGGCATGGCATCAGGTTTGCAACAGCAGGTCGTGCTGGTCCCAGGCAATAACTGGGAGCCAGGAAGCTCCGTGGCGCCGTACAATGTGTATTATGTGACAATGCCCATTGGACAGGGCAACTTAGACCACCGCATGGTGGACAGTGCAGGCAATCAAGAGGACACAGGACCTCCAAGGCCTCTTTCTAATGAACCTGGGGCAAAGGAGGGTTGACGCAATTTTGGTGACGACAGAGGGAGAATGCAACGCCACAGGCAGTGTGGCACAGGCAACGGCAGGTGTTGTCAAAGACACCGTTGCTTAGTGTATTTTGAAACCCCCGAGGGGGGAAAGGGGGGCAAGACGGAGGGGACCCCGTGCTGGGGTTTAAATCATGCGTGCCACATCCGCAAGTATGAGGATGGTATCTTTGTTGTACAAGTCAAGCTGTATAACGTTTTAGTTTCTCTTGAACCGAGTTGCGAAAAGTCTGCCTCTTCCGGTGCCACATACAGCCAGCAGAGTCTGTTTGTGTCGCACCAAACATGAGGTCGTTTGGCTTACGAGCGAGTGACAATGGAAAGGTCTTGCAAGGTCACCTGGCTACATAACCAGAGACACACATCCCTTCTGTTAGGCCAGGGACGGCAGCTGAACTCCGCAATGATATGAAATTTTGGATCAGAAACAGCCAAATAGCAGCACACACGCCCATCGTTCCACTGCTGACCATCCCCCACATGTATTTAATACATGCCACCACATTTATGTATCACGCGTGCGTACAGTCATATATTTGGCAGAAACCCATTAACGATATAGTTAACTCCATTTCCACGTTGCCGTGCTCCTTGACCCCTCCACGCGTTCACTACATTCAAGCTTGCCCTGTGCCCGTTACAATTGATAACCCGAGTTTTCCACACTGACTTGTGTCCAGTCGATTCACTTGTCGCCGCCCAGCAGAGATTCCAGAAGCCCGCCGCTCGCAATGGTGCAAAACGTCCAAGAGCTAGCCCTGAACGCCTTGAACTGTTACCGACCCAAAGTGCACAGAATCGGGAACACAAGAACCACAGCCCAAAATGGCCTTGCGAACTTGGCCGCTTATTCAAGCCATCAGCGCACCCACTCAACCTCGCCCATGGCAAGAACCCATCAACAAGCCAGTTGATTTCAGTTCCAGACCCAACCCGGCGGCTTTGCGGTGGCTGATGCAATCATGGAGCACTCACGCATTTTGCAACACATTCGCGCCCCGCGCCGTCGCTCCCTCAGGCAACTTGCCACATAACGATTGTGCCAATGTTGATGCATTTCGAAATCGGAAAAGTTTCACCAGAGGAGAACACGGGCATGTTCCCAGCATGCTCCCTATGCGCAATAAAACAACACGTTCAGCTTGCCTGTGCCACACAAACGAAGCCGTCAAGAGATGCAGCACAATCTGCCGCCAGCCAGCTGGTCCCGTTTTCGTTCACCAACAGAGCGCCGCACGTGCCGGCATCCCCCGGCTCGCCCTCCCCCCACCCCTCGTACCCAAGCTCAGCTCCACTCTGCCAAACCCAATCGCCCCCCTCGGCGCCCTCGGCGCCATTATTCAATCCCATCCACAGGGAGCCGCCAACATCCCGCCATCCCGTCCCGCCCAACAGCTCCTCGGCGACGAACGCCCCTTCATCCTCCGACGAGATTTCCACAAGCTGCATGCCGCTCTCACTGCAGGCCGAAAGGGCATCCGCCCAAGAGGCAGACCGATTGACCACAGTGTAGCAGGCGCTTGAGCTGCACACCTGCTCACTGGCAGCCATCGAGGCTACAAAATCAGGGGCTCGCGTCAGTGTGAAGTTGAATTGGCCCTGCGTTAGCTCGTCATTCACGGGCATCCACAGCCTGGGGTCGTCCGAGTTGCAGCAGTCGCCCAGAAATTCGTCGCCCTCCCAGTACACCTGGGTGATCAGGTTCTCGTACCCGGCTGCGGTGACCATGGCGTGCATGTGCCGAGGTCTCAATGTCGGTCCGTTCTGAGCGGCAGACACAGCAGGAGAACGTCAGACCGTGTCAATCGGGACGCAACCAAGTCGATCAGAGCTCAACTCGGCGCGAGTACGCGCACCCAAATTGCCTTCCTCCCTTTTCGTGCGCGCTTCAATCGTCCCCTCCACCAACAGACGATATTCCAACAGCCTCCAACTGTCAGCCAGCGTTCCGACGATTTCCGGATGCAATTATATTAGAGCATGCGATCCGTTCCCGGATATCTCCAGCCCCAAGACCAGAGGCAGCAGCTTACCTGATATTGGCCCGGCAGTATAGTTCGAACGCTGTATGTCCCATCTTCCCCCACCGTAATGAGGCCGCGGCAGTAGTGTGTTGATGTATCCCGGTTGTCGTCATAGTTTCCCTCAGAGTCCGCTTGCCACACCATCAGCGTCACGTTGTAGTCTCCGCCACCCAAAGGGGTCGCACAATCCTGGAGACGAGACGATGAAATCGTAGTTCACACTGTTGCTGCGGAAATCGCTGCGGTGATTAAAGTTACGGACTTCGTGAGGAAAAGCATGTGAGGGTACATCATTTCGTGGTTTCAGCTGAAGTAGAATAAGAACACAGAAATGAAATGACTAAGATCCCTTTACAATCTGTTTCACAACAATAACGTCTGCCAAATTCACTGCCCATCTTTCGCACAGGGCTGCCGCCTTCAATGCCTCAACAGCTGGACGTCTTCCAGCTTTGCAACACCTATTCTGCCTTCCTGGATCCTTCGACAGCGGCAATGGCTGTGACAATGCAAAAGCGCAGTGCGCATGCTGCCTGTGGGTTCTTGCACGCCCTCCTCCATTTGTTAACATGCGTGCTCACCACGCCAGCATCGTGTGCACGTCACAAGGCAATTGCCAAACTTCGCCACCCCCAAAATCGGTAGCCAAAGCATCGCAACGCTGAGAATTCTACTTGATCAGAAATTTCGTTGCTTCTTCTGCTCAATATTTGCAGTTTTGCTGAATTACAATAATGTTCGCCCATTTACAGTCTTCGCCGCTAGAATAAGGCAGCCCGGCCGCTTGGAATAGGGCTTCAAGGAATGTAGACTATCAAACCCACTCACTGTGATACGTCCCTGCGGTGCAGTGCACCAGGCACACAACGGCGAAGCGATAAAATCCGCATATTATATACACACATAATCCACGTTAACCATGTGGATGACAATTGCACCAGTGGCAACTTTTTCTCAAGGTTGACAGGCATTTTCAAATGATGCATGGTAATCTTTTAAATCTGCCTGTAGTCTTGCAGATGCTGAAGGTGAACGCCAACAAACTAAAAGAACACCACATGCCATGTTGACTCGCAGTGAAGTATTATGACAGCCATGGGATGCACCAAAACAGACCTCCACTCCCGCACAAATACATCACACAGTCCTCTCAAGATCGCAAAAATGTGACGGCCTTTCCAGTGTTGTCTCCGGACCGAACAAGAAGTTGGCCCTTTCCCATTGAAACAACCGTACAAAGACCGATGGCAGCAATGAGTAGAACGAACTTAAGATTTTCAATCTCTGCAGGCAAGGAGATACATCCTCTGCAGTTTCGACGTTGTGGACATACAAGTGGCTTTCCCGAACCCCTTTCGTGAATTTTTGTGGATGTATATGATGATTCCTCTGTGCAGTTTTCCATACAGCAGTTTCATCCACAAGGTCTGGTCGTTCAAAAGGACAGTAATTTTTTAGAATATTTGTGCAGTAGCCATTAGATTTAGACAGCAGATTGCAACATGAGTAACGGTGAGGCAGATTCGAAGGTGGGCCTCCCCAGAGATCAATCCTATGAAAGGCTAGCAGGCACACACATGGGCAGTAGGGCAGTTGATATCCTAGTGTCTGGGCACCCCTGCCAATCTGCAAATGCGAAGGCACATACATTTCAGCCAGTGTGTTGGACAGCACATCAGCCAAGGACAAGTACATGCAACCAATGGCACTGGATGATTGCAGGAGGCAGGGATGCTCATCCTAGACTTGTTGTTGTGCTGAACACTCCCTTTGCAAATGGAACATAAATGGAAGAAATGCTGGTATGCTGTCCAGACCTACCACCTGCCAAAGCTTGATCCTTGGACTGGCATTCAAGAAATCACAATGGGATCTTAAAGACAGTCACCATTAATGCAACAAAAAATGTGGAGATGTTTGGTGGTACCCATCCAATCCTGACTGTGTACTTCAGCGGAAATGGATGGGATGCGATGGCATTTCACAATCGCAACAGCGCTTGACACCTGAACAGGATTTTTCCCCCTGGATCAAGATCGAAACCAGCAATCAAAGATGAGGAGTCCGGCGCGTATCATTGAGGGCTGGTTGTGCACGGTTGCAGCAACACATGTCCCATAAGGATACTGAATCGGCTCATCAACAACGCTCTTCTATACTCGCAGCGGTGCCCAATTGACTGACACAAGATTCCATACAGCATGGGGAACCTACGACGCAGAAGATTGAGCTGGAACGGTTTTGGCGTGTACGTTTGCCCCGTCCCATCTGCCCAGCCATCGCATTCACTAGCAGTTCCAGATCCAATCGTTGTGCTAATCAAAGACATCCACTGTGCATCGCCACTGAACGGCGCCGTTCAATGTACATTCCCCCACCACCGCGTCTCAACCGATGCTGGTCACTGTCCACTCAACAAGTTTCTGCACGCACATTCACAGATGACCCTACCTCGTCGAAAATCGTGCCCGTCATTGTGAACTCCGCGCCGCCCTCCGGCGCTCCTTCCGGCGCAAAATCCGGCCTGCAGATCCAGTCGGCCTTGTCCGGCACGCCCTGGGATTGGAAGAAGGGGCCCTCGGTGGCGGACGGCGTGGGACTGCACTCATCTGTCTGGCCGGTAGACAGCACCGCCCACGCGGCCAGCAGCACCGGCACGATGAGGCCCATCCCTGGCCCGGAAAGCTGCCCATCACGCCAATCGGGGAGGGAACCAGCGCGATGTGCTTCAGGCAAAGGCGCCCATTGAGCCCTCAAGGAGGGATTGGGGAGGCAACGCGCTGCGGCAAGGAAGGTACCGCAGTGTTCGGCGCACCGGGATTGCAGGTGACGTCCCCAAGTTGCGCGTGCGCAATAGCGTTCCTTTCGTTGACCGCAACCTCCAAAGACGCAATTGGCAGCGGGAGGGTACGCAGTCCCCAACCAGCCTGCCACACGTGGTGTTCGGGCTTGTATTGGCTTGGGGGTCGCCAGCTGATGTCCCTCGCCCTTGTGATTCCTTGAACCTTATGCTGTGTCGTCCCGCAGATGCACAAACCTCGTAAGACAGGATTACGTAACGTGTACGTACATGTACAGGAATACGTGTTCAGGGGCAGCAGCGGACAGCATCATCGCCCAGTAGGTGGCCAGTGGTCTGCTACAGATTCCGGTGTTTTTCTCCTATCACGAACTTTTGAAGCCCGATGCCAACAGTTGACTGGCGTAATGATTTACTGTTGCCGTCACCAAGGAATCCTCACCTGCTCAGAAGACCTCCTGTATGTTGTCCATTTTCGACAATCACCATTGCCGTCATGAATCCTTTTATATCAACTACTCACAGCAATTACCTCCCTTTTGGGAAATTCCCGCTGATAATTAAGCGGTGACAGACGACTGAGTGAATACGTCGTTTAAGCGTGTTCAGGTCAGTCATGGTGGACCAATACAGAACTTCGTCCTATCTCTTCCAAACTTTTTCGATAATCGAGTTAACATCTTGGTGCATTGTCCTGAATACCGTATGCAGTTTCCAAACATATGCTGATTGACCTCAAGAAATTCTTTATCAATAGGGCTCCCTCGTATTTACTGATTGTCGCTGTCTCCCATCTAAACGTGCCTCCAGCACGTCTGATAAGTCGACCTCAAACATCCAATCATCTGTTGTTTGAAGTTCAGGGGACATAGGATCCTGGCCGGGGCATAACCGTTGACGGATTTCCCCCCCCCGGTTAAAGGGGACAAACATAGAAATCCATCCATCCAATGATCTGTTCTGGGTTTTCCAATACAATTGGGATATCCACGCAGCGACTCTGTGAGGGGAAATTATTTTCCATGGCTAAAGGACAAAAAACAGGAAGGTGTCTACAGAATTAAATAGCATCCTGGCGTCCTGATCAGCGTGTATCCGGTGGGGCAGCTAATTTGGGCAAATTACATGGAACAGACCGCTCGCCTACACACTGCGAGTTATCTAATACTTCCTCTGTCCCATATCAGGCTTGGTCTTTGCGTTTGCGTCTTCATTTTTGCGTTTACGTTTTTATGCTCAAAAACGCGTAAGTAGAGAAGCGGCCATTTTTAAGGCCATATTTACGCATATTAACGGCTCGCCGACACGCTCAGATTACGCGATGGTGTCCCAAACAATGATGAGCTCTCCAACACATGGAGCACCGGAAACACATTGTCTCGACCTCGACCCCGGCAACGGCAGCGACGCTGTCGAGCAAAAGGTCGTTTTTGGCACATTTCAACGCGTCTAGCTGCCACTCCCCGGACTCCTTGGGTCGGTATATAATGTCTTTAAGTACAAAGGGCCCATTTTAAGCATTTTGCGACTGTTTACGCGTAAAAAGAATGTAGCGTCCTATAACGTTAGAATCATTTTTGCGCATAAATAACCGTCAATAGAAAAGCGTTTGAGCCATAAAGATCAAGCCTGTCCCATATAAATTTCCTGCATATTTCAACGCATCAACGAGAATACCTTTTGAGTGAAATTTTGCCCACAGTTGTGTGTTTTTTGAGTCTGGAGTATGCAGTTCAAAAATTATGCCAATCTGCTAATAATTGAGGATTTGGCAATCCTTTGTAGCAAGGGTCTTTTGCCTAGTAAACCTCGATTTCTACGGTCAAAAGTGACCAAATTCATATTTCTCCCAGCGGTCAAAGGATCTGGGCTCATTTCATCTTCTGGAAATTGTCACGTAAGGGCTTTGGACCAATCTTTCCGATTCTGACTCTTTTTGTAATTTCAAGCCATTGTTGTAATGAATTTTGTTTTCCAAATAGAGGATATTTAATATGGGACAGAGGAAGCAGGCTGGTTACGAACTACAGGACATGTCGCGGCGGAATAGGGGTGCATGGCAAAAGATATGGATAAGGAAAATTGAAGAGGACAATTTGCCAATAAGACCACAGCTTGTCGGTGTGTCCATGAGTCGTAGCTGGGAGATATTTCAGGCTGAAATTTTCAGCTGGAAGCAATAGCCTTAAACATGGGGATTACAAGTGCGGGGTTCGGTAGGCGGGGATTCTAGCATGTGATCCAGAATCCCAATCCCCTAAAAATATCAGGAGATAAGATGTGGGGTCACACCACTGGTGTGCGCCAATTTCACAATGTTTGTTATATTCTATTTCAAAACCCCATAAGAGATTGTCCTTTTATAGTTTTGACGCATGACTTTCCATCACAGCTATTTCAGTTTCCAGTAAAATTTTATCGAACTTTTTGATCATGGATCTGGAATGCATTAGCCAAAACTGAAGTCAAATTATTTGGAACTTTGAATTGCCAGCACATTGTAGCAAGAGCACTCAGGTCAATATTGCAAATCTTCAGCACCACAGCAAAGGCGGAAGCTTTAGTCATGCTCAGACCCGCAAATATGTCCATCAGAAGGGTTATGTACTACATGTACGGCGGTATTGATGCAACATTGGCCGCAAATGCACCAATCAGTCCTGATGTGACGTTGACATGCTGGGCCATTGATTCAACGTTGCGGCAAAGTTGGTGGGTGGTAGTGGGCCAGCAACATTGCCGCAATGTTGCCGAAAGACACTCTGATGGGTCGTGGACGAACGCCGGCATCTGTGAGCCGTTGCTCAATAGGCCTTGCCTCAACATTACTGGTCATTGCTTCAATGTCCCCGTTGCATCAAGCCCCATCAACATTGTATCAACGCCTACCGAATTTCCAGATGTATATTAATATTCTGACCAAAGCAAAGGGATATTTAGGGACAACTAAGGGGAGCTAGGGCTTATTTCTTTTAAAAGTTGGCACTCGGGGGGTATGAGACCCAGTGTTTTCGATGTTGCCCTCCTTCTGTAATTCAGAGGCGGTTTTCGTTTTCGATGAAATTTTCTTCATGGCGATTGCTAAGTTCCTTCCCCTTGTCGCATCTGTCTATATGTGTGCCGCCTGCCACGCCGAAGAAAGTACCCGTAGGCTCGGAGCTCCTGTGAGGAACAACCTGCCACTCGGGCGTTTCTTGGCTTCAGGGCAAGTATGTCCTGCCGAGGTCGCGATTGGGAAAGCCAACAAGGGCTTCTCTCCACTACTGTTCGCCCGCTTTTCTGACGTTTAACATGACGAAGGGTGGCAACCGAGCGTTCCCTTGCATTAGCACGCACCATCCCATGCGATGTACGACGTGCTTGGGAGCGGATGCCCATAGCCCGACATTATCGCAAGTGTCCACACAGCATAGTGGTATCCGTATGAGGCGTCACGACCACAAACCCCAAAACGCACCCAGCAGACATGCAGCAGTTGTGAAGGCGATCCTGTGACCACGCAAATTGCGGTTGTGACTTCGGTAACTGACGTAAATTTTCATCCAATTGGAGTCTATTTCTCTCTTCGAAGTTCGCACCCAATTTGACTGACTTATTGTAATTCTGGCCAGCGTTTCGGCATTAAGTTCGCCTGTGGAAAAAATTCCAGCTTCCAACATGTTAAAGCAGCCACAGTCACAGCTGCCCATTAGGGCTGGTGAGCTGCTGCTGCAGCCTCACTAATATGAGGATCCAGGCCTTCCACATCTCGCACAGGTGCTGCGGAAGCGAGGCACCTCAATTCAGTGTTTGTGAGCCAAAAAAGACTGATCATTGAAGCCAAAATATCTCCACCGACCGGCTCAGCTTTTATCGGCCTAGATTACATGTTGATCATTGTTCATCGTAGCTAACTGACATGTAATCAGGCGATGGATCATTTCCTGAACCAGCTAGGTGCAGGGCAGCGTTCCATTCCAGCCTGGCTCATGCCACGATCAGCGATACGCAGCAGGACTTAGGGATCCCTTTCTCGTGTTTTCAGCTTGAGCGATCCCAGAGAATTTGCAAGGGAGACTCTGTAACGATTTCTGGCACTTAAATGTCGCCGATGTCGTGTCTGTGATGACGATTGTTGAAACTGGCCATGATCGGCACAGCACCGAACCGGTGTTTCTTGGCAGCTGCGAGACACACTTGTGTGCTTGGAGGGCGTCCAACTTTCGCTTTCTAACGATCGCGGCTCACCAACTCCTTACGCAGCTCACCTAGTCACCATGCGAAGGCAGTGCAACGTCACAATCGCTGTACAGGTCGTAATCAACATGCCACATGACGTACAGCAATGGGGCAGTGCCTGCGCTCTCCGATTTGGGCCATTAGGGCACGTTCTCGATGTCGATCACATGAAGCGATTGGACTTGGACGGCACTTAGACGTTCGCGCACAACGAGGCGCTCCAAGATTTCCACGGGCAACCAGGTATATGTTACATTCCGTCCAAAATAGCAGCCCGGAGGTCAGCTCCCACGGTGGGGTGACTGCAGCCAGGCTTGTTATTTACGTTTACGTTTACGTTCTTACGTTTGTGCTTTTGCGCGCAAAAACGTAAATTTGCAAAAGGCTGTTTTCACAGCTGTTTGAACGTTTTTGCGGCTCGTTGCGACACCCAGGCTACACTATGGGAGTTGCGTTCAACGATCAGTACTCCACCCCCAAGAGCGCCCACAACACAGCGTACACTTCCCACTTGGCGAGGGCTACGATGGAGTGGAACAAAATTCGTTTTGTGCCCATTCCAGTGCTTCTGGATGCCATTCCCCGGAGTCCTGAAGGGTGCATGTACTGTCCTTATGTACACGGGGATGTTTTTACGTTGTATTACGTGTTTTTACGCGTTATTACGTCGTAGAAATATTTTCACACGTAAAAACGTAAATACGATCTGTGGTTACGGCGTAAATAATAAGCCTGGCCGCAGCAAACCCCCTGAATGCCCCCTGTTTATAGCTCTGGCTGGCTGCCTCCTTGTCCGAAGACCCTCAGAATATCCTCCAAGGATTTTAATAACTATTGGCCAGCTTCCTGGATCATCCTTTGTTTGTCATATCAGCTTCCCGGATCACTATCGTGATCTGCTGCCCGTCGCTGTCCCTCATGTCCGATGATTCCTACTAATCCTAGTATCAGTGCTATTCACTCACAAGTCACTGTCAAGTGCCACCCCCGTCGATTTCTCATCAAATGAACTATCTTTTGCAACCATTCGATCATAGTCATCTCAAAAGATTCGATCATAGACATCTCAAAAGATTCACAGGTTGTTGTCTCATCGACCAATCAGTATCGTCCAGCATCAATTTCATCACAATTGCCCAGATCTGCCCTCGCCTGCTTCACCATGCCTCCGCCATGGGCGCCAGCGCCTTGATCGCGCCGTGGATTCGAGCGTCCCTTGGGCTCATGGCAGCTCCTCGTAGGCATGAAAAGTCCATGCACAGCAAGGCAGGCCGCTACTATGCAAGCAACGCAACGTAGCCCATTCGATACTGCCATCGCCACCACCGCCCTCCAGACTTGGCAACCATGCTCTCGCAGCCATGTTAGAGCGCGTCAGCGCAAGTCGACACCGCCGTGCGTGCGCCTCAAAGGCGCTCTGCGATTCAGCGTCCAACGTTATCGTTTGACATTCAAGGCTGCCATGACACATGCTGGTGCACGGCAGCCTTGGACGCGCACCCCAAGGCACGGAACGGCATTCGTCATGGTCGGTTGAGCATTGCGGCCCAACTGCACCCCACCATTGGGGCCCATTTGAACTGATGTTCAGCCCAGAATTCTGCCTTGAATGGGAGCCATTATCAAAGTAGACTGATTCTCCCTTTTGGCCCATCCTGTTGCCATCCAACAGTTGTAACATAGCCCACATGTCCAGTAATCTATCCATCAGCGATCGCAATAGTTTTGTGATGAAGTGGCCAGCGCTTCCCAAGGAATTCTGCCTTTTTCAAATGTTCTGCCTTTTGCCATAATGTGCACCAGGCAGGTCTGCCATTATCCCTGCATTGGATATGACTCTCGCTAACAAGTATGGCAGCATCGCCACGTACTTTGGCGTTCTTTCTTCTTCCTTTGGGACAAAGCACGTCACCCTTCTCATATGCAGAATTCATAAATGTCATCACAAAAATCTCAATCAACAACAGCGTGCTTTCTCGCTGTTTGCAATGCTGAGCGGCTGTCCACGTTCTCCTGACCGACCAAATCTGGGTTGGCCCCAGTCAGCTGCCGTATGTCAGTCACGAACCCAGCATTGTGCTGATGTGGCACAATGACTAACAGCGACTTTAACAAACACCTTTTTCTGCAGCTCGTGTAAGCACACCCAACGCGCCAGAAATTGCAGCTGCTACGTTTCCTCAATTTCCATTTCATTTTTCGAGCCTTTCTGTAGCAAATTTGCCTTTTCTCACCAGCTGAAGATTGCTTTCATCCAGAAATGTGTTCATCTACAGATGTGCACACTCTCCCTGTCATTGCGACTGTCCCTGTCAGACATGTGTCCTGCATCGATTGTAAGGGCAACACGACTAACGACCAATTCGATGACAGTCAGGGACAGGCAGGGACAGGGCGACAGGATGCTGTTGGGGCGGCTTGCGGTTGGGGTGAACGAACGCCCAGCCAATCTATATGCAATATGCAGCTCAGGGTGCCGTGGATCAAAATCTTAACCCTCGAGCTTGGCTGCTGCCTGAAGTGCAAACAGACAGGCCCCCCCAGCGGGCAGCACAATGCAGCCCCCTGGCTGCCCGTCGCTGTCCTCGCGCCTACGGGCGCTGCCGCTCCCGCCCGTCAGCTGCCGCGCGGCGCACACCGCGCAAGCCACCAACCCGACCAGCCATCGTCGCCAATCCCCCGTCTGGGCTTCGGTCCCGCTGGCAGCGGGCAACGGGCGATCTTTGCTGCATGGCAGCGGCCCTTTTGATCGTCGCTGCGGCGTTTCGGCGACTGGATTCGATGGTGATGGCGGTGCGGGTGTGCCCAGCGTGGCGACCGCCAAGGAGGCTGTGGAGCTGGGCCTCAAGACCCTGGAGGCCGGGGACGTGGAGGCGGCGCTGGGCCTGTTCAACAGGGCCATGGACTTCGGCCCCAACCAGGAGGAGGCGACGGCGGCCAAGTACAACGCGGCGTGCTGCCTGGCGAAGTTGAAGAGGTGGAAGGAGGCCGCGGATGGCGTCGTTGAGGTTGTCAATGACTACAATTTGAAGCTCAAGGTGGCAATGGAGGTGAGCATGGGCTGGGAAGAGACATGTATTCTGTCTTCTGTTGTGAACGAGCTCTTGGCGCTCTGTGAACGGCTGATAAGGTGTTCAGGGCCATGAAAGCCGCCAAAATTTGATTTTCCCTTCATGCTACCATCCTGCATCGTTGTTCATGCATATGTGCAGGCGAGACGTCCCTTTTCCGCCCACTTGTGGTTGTCGTGTGGAAGACAGGGGCTGGGGAAAGGGCGCCAGTATCTCTTGTGTGTCCTGTGCTGAAAGTCACCCAACGTGTTTTCCAGCTTTGATGTGTATGGGGGAATCAACCTTTCTGGCCCTAAAATCATTGCTGCAAGTCAGAGTGCCTACTTGACTTGAGAATTTTGCAGGAAAATGTGGGAGTGTTGCGGTCATTCTAATGTACACCCAGTTAACGAACTACCCAGAGACTGAGCTATGTTCTCCTTTGTCCGCACCACTGCCATCCTCCATACTGACATGTGATCAGCTGCCCTACTCCAAGATTTCTGTTTCTTGAGATTCTTCTCTCAAAATGTTCTCATTTATGACTTTGTTGATTATCGCACTATCGTCACATGAGATGTAACTGCCACAAAGCTGTTAATTATAAGGACTAAACGATTGAATAGCACTTGAAGCACATAAGACGAATGCACTGAATTTCAGCCTCAGTTGAGAAGCTGGGACTTCTGCCATTCAGTTCTTCCTTGGTGCAGGAAGTGTCACAAGAAAGGCCTGGTGGAGTGTGTATGTGATTTTGCTCACATTTTCTGGTTCATGAGCTCAAAGTCTTTTGTACATGTTGGTGTTGGCCTCTCTGCGGACGATTTACTATTGCTTGCAGTACTTTAGGACGGCGATCTTGAGGAGTTGAGGGACACTCGAGAGTGGCGGGAGGCCCTGGCAATGATGAAAGGGGGCTTGACAGAAGAACAGCGAGTGAAATTGAGGGCAGAAACGAAGGTAAAGGCGTTCTTCCTTGTTTTATCTCCATTGGCACGAGTCTCAATGTTCTGTGGCTTGGACATCAACTGCCAAAGAGTTGAGATGCATGTCTATTGTGTATTCTCCTTCTTGACTACTTGCCTGCATAGCCTCGTTGTTCCAAAGGCGTTAACATATTAGATTTGTTTGTTTTTACAGTTCAATTGCAGTGCCAGAGCAAGCCCTCAGTCTGGTGGTGCCAATATAGACAACCATTATTCGCACTGCTGATTCACAGCCCTTACCTGAATTGATGAAGAAAGTCAGCTGAAATCAGTCTTGCGTTGCAATGGCCATGCACAGGAACATGTGCAGGACACTTTTGAACAGCAGTGTGGGTGAGCGTGGCTGAATGAGCTTTTGCAACACATCACGATTGTGGACCAGAAGTCATCAAATGCATAGGATGGAAATGATGCCACAAGAATTGCAATCTGTACAGCTGTTAGCAGTGCGAAGTTGGAATGCTAAGAAATTAAAAGGGCCATGGCTGTGTGGGCTGAGCGACTGAGTTGGTAGCACATTGCACCAACTTCGCTTCCAATGACCCACTGATTCCATGCGCAAAATGAACAGAGAATTGGAAAGAGAATGAGAGAAATGGGCAGAGAAATTGTACACGATGTGCTTGTTCATGCCGACTTGTACATCATCTTGTTAGCACAGGGACAGGTTGCAAATGTATATGACCCAGAGAGGAACACAACTGTGTGGAATGTTTGCGAGAGTCATTGCCAGACCCTGCAATCTGGAACAGGCTACAGTCCAACACAATCAGCCAGCTGTCTTTTGTTGATTTTGAATAATTTTTGTAGCCCTTTGTGGCTTGACAATGACTGGGCAGAATTGTCTTAGCTTAACTCATGCCATCAGTGCAGAATTACCCAAAGAATTGCGACTTGCCATTCTGACCTGCACTGTCACTAATATTCACCATTGTTGTGTATACATTGTGCAGGCCCCTTTCAGGCTCCCTCGATTGTATCTCTTTGGTGGCCTGCTAGCGGGTGCAGGTTTTGGCCTTCTCATCATTCTCGCTAGGCTGGCTGCTGCACTGAAAGGAGGAGAGGGAGCACCAGATCTGCAGGAGAGCATCACGAATCTTGGCATCAATTTGGCTGCTGTTGTTGTGCTAGGGTTTCTTTTCTACAGGGACGTCTCCCAAAGTGATAAGGACGCAGCTGTCACAGCAAGAGAGGAGGCGTTGGGAGCACTGCAGGTGTGTGGGTGGACAACAGGTGCACCAAGGGCATGGTGCTAAATTCTGCGGTGCGTTCCAGGAAGGACCAATTATATGGCCGTCATTCAACAGGATTTGTTGTCGCCTTTGTTGCAAGAATTTCCGCCCCACAGACCCATCTCATGGCTCATTGTGTTACCATCTGGGGTCGCAGTAAATTGTCTCAACTACTGTGAAGATGTCAGTGGGCTGATATTTGCCAAATTGGGTTGGATGATCTGCACACAATGGTGAATGCACGCACATGCACTTAGTTGCAATCCACGCCGTCAATTTGCCTGCATCCTGGGAACTGGGAATTGAAAGACACGTTCACAATTTGACAGGTGAGAACTGCGGCGAGTCGTGTGATGCCCCTTGCACGCCTTCGGGGCACAGTGCGGCCCGTGGTGGTCGCAGGCACCAAGAGCCAGATTGCACGGGTACTGAAAGCTGCACGGCCTCTACGAGAGGAGCTGCAGGACAGGGGTGTGTGTGTCATACCTGTTATCACAACAGACGCAGCGGAGCCTGCTGACAAAATCAAAGCCCTCAAGCAGAAGCTTCAGTCCAACGGAGGCAATTCTGACGCTGGCAAGGGTTTCGCTGAGGAGGTAGAAGTGAAGCAGGGGGACGGCAAATGGGAGGTGTCGCCTCACAACATGGATGAATGGCGGGTAGGCGATGGCGTCGTCGTTCGTCTCCCATTTTTGTTGCAGACCTGTGGCCATCCTTCTGCTGCTTGTTTACCATGTGTATGAACTATGCAGCTGTGCCATAGAAGACATTAACGACATGTTGGCACTGCAATCGCTCTGCAACCGACAGGGCCACCGTCGCGGTCTGTCGCTTCAGATGGCTCCGAAATGTGCAGCAGTTCGACAAACAGCGCACTAGTGACATTCAGGATGCTGACTGAACTGGAATGCTGTGTTCGAAGCAATAAGAGATCGCAGGTAGACGAACACTTTTCGAAGGGCTGAATAGCCACCCAGTCCAGGATGCGAGCTCAGTTCTGCCAATTGGAATAATGGAACCTCGCAGCTTCTATGCGCAAAATTGGATCCTGTATGGGCACTCCTCGGCCCACGCTATCTGACGCCGGAAACCGGTGTCTGTTAAAATTGTAGAAGCTCCATGTGTGCGAGAAGTAGCTGCACTTCTTGTAGTGCCACCAGCAGCCATCGGTTCCCCTCAATGCCACTGCTGGGGCATGCGCTGTTGTTGTATCTGCGAGCGACGAATAGGAAAGCCATTTTTATTCGTACTGATTGGTGAGAAACTTGAGGGCGGGAGACTTGAGAATTGTGTCCCGTTGCGTGAAGGAATGGATGGAAGAGCAGAAGGAGTTTGCCGGGGCGAAGGGGAGCAACTTTTACGTTCAGGTTCAGCTTGATGGTACGGTTCGGAGCAGTGGGTCTGGGGCCCCGCCTTGGCAGGAGCTCGTCCAGAACCTTCCAACCATGGATTCCGTGATGACCAAATTCGGAGACAACATTGGGCCCACAGTGTGAGCATCCAGGGGTGGCGTTCACCCCATACATTTTGTGGTCTCATTAAAGACCAACGTTTTCGCAGCACGGTTTTGCGGTTCGTGCTTCCGTTGATGCACGATGATGCAGGGCGGTGTTCTACATGCGCTATATATTTGTCGAATTTTGCAATGTTTAAATATCATTCAGTTGTGATGTGTGGTCAATTTGGAGGGTTTCTGGTGCACATTCTCCTCGGCTGCGTCGGCAGAGCCTTGTGCGCAATGTTGCCAGCAATGCACGCACTGCAGACCCCAGTGCCAGCTCGTGTCCAGCTGCAGCAGACCCACACTGCAACAAGACGCAAGGAGGTGCCATGCATCGTTGTCTCCGCTTCTGCATTCTGTGGTCTTGTTGATCGTGCTGCACCAAGGTGAATGGGCAGAACATATCAACAGTCTTGAGAATGGCTGCTGCTTTGTATTTGGTCAGCCGCGCATGGGGAATGGGAGTGTCCCCAATCGCCGGCTGGCTTAGCCACAGCATACCAATCCTGCGCCTGGACAAGGTAATTAACTTGCAACTGGACGCCCAACTGCCACTCTCGAGTCCTCGATTTGGGAGGGGACGGGCTGGAAAGGGCTCGGGAGTCGTATGATGTTTTACTGCGCTCTTCGATATCAATGACTCAAACAGAGGACTGGTGGCTCTGGGGGCATGCACGCATTGGCCAGGGCAAGTAGCGTGACTAATGTGGAGCCATGCCCCCTGGTAGATCTCAGTGTGTCGCGATTGTGGTTGTGGTCGCGGGCGGGGCTGTGGGTGAGGTGGGGGGGCGGTTGAGCAGGGTGGGGTGGATGCTTGGGGTGGGGATCCGTCTTTCATGCTGCTCCTGTTGTACAGTGCCCATTGCGTCATGCAACACGCAATTGTGGGCTGTTGTGTATGGCGTAGGTGGAACCCACGGTCATGGACTTCCAGCACGAGCCAATTGATGTCAGAGCAAACTGTTTGAACATCGGCTTGGCGCATATAGACTATGACAGAGTCTGGCGCTATTCTAAAGTCTCCGAACAATACCCAATATCTCTCCACAGACCACTCACAGCCACCACAAGGGAGTTCCACGCCGGGGTGGTTCACCTGCCTACCCTCCTCCATTCGCGTCAGGCCAGATTATCTGATGCGCAAGAGACTCATGCGCAAGATGTATTCTTTCTGCCATGCACGCCAGTGAAACCACATTCCCAAATATACACGTACCCAACGCCACATCACCGCATCGATTTTGCAGGTGACGCATTTCCCCACTGTGGATTAGCACAATAACAAACTACACCACACCGGTCTGCAAACGCTTGCCTACGGCTTGATATGTCAGCAGAGAAAGTGCGCTATGGCATCAAAACCCCCCTCGAGTTGGCCGAGCCGCTGGAGGTCACTGAGAGTCAATAGGTTCAGAAGATGGTCGACGCTATTACATGTGGCAGGACACCTTCAGGCGGCTGAAGTCCAGCTGGAACTTCCCTATGTCTGGCTCCATCTTGGGTTGATGATGGCCACCCATTGACCTGCAGCGAAACATCACAAATGACTTTGTGCTGCTCCCCAACACCAATATGTTTCTGGATGATTCTTTGTGGTTGCTTGCCCGCATAGACACAAATTGCTCCAGAAGTCGTCCAGTTTAGCTGTGCAGCAGACGCCCTCATGACCTACAGCGTGCCTGCGTGGCTGCAGGAAAGGCGTTCCAATGCTAAAGGGGGGCCAGAGCGACTGAGCAATGTACCTCCAGCAACAAGTCAAGCCTTCAAACCTCAGTAACACACTCAACTTCAAAGAGATACGTAAGGCAAGGAAAACAGCCCACGCGAACAGGGAGGACCGTCCCTGCTGACCTCCACACAAGTTCCACAAGTGAGACAAAATTTCGCAGCAACCGCAGCCCCCCTGAACGTGTCATTTGCCAACACGCAACTACACTCAGGCCCTTTCGAGCAACAAAGCTATTTAAGCAAACTTGACTGGACATAGAGCGATCTCATTTCAACTGCTTGCCGCCAGCTGGCCAGAACGCATTTGTAGTTACTGGACTATGCACGATTCTCAAAACATGGTGCGCTGTCCACTGCTACACAACGGCACATCACATATTTGTGCACAACAAACTGTCCATACTTTGCTAATAGCAGTCCTGCGTTCCTGCTAGCGCCCTTCCTTGAATTCCGAAGTAGATGTGATAAAATACTGGGTGAAGAGCGGCACATCACTTACCCTCCAACTTGCGGGAACTCCTGCCTCAATGACCAGTCCGAGCTTAACGAAAGCTTCTCACTGTTCATGTGCTGCAAAAGGCAACAACGTATTGGTGATGTGCGGCCTCACAGGGGTACACAATGCCAACGAGAAACCAAATGAGGGGAAGGCCCAACAGCGCAGAAGCGTGCAAACAAAATCGAAACCTGGCAAGTGAGGCAAAACTAACCTGAAATTTGTGAGCGATTTTAGAACCCTTGCTCCATTTTGTCTTCGCCCTGCATATGTGGGGAACGACACAATGTTGTCAGTGAGCTACAATGAGCAAAACAAAATTCCCCATGCCACTCGTTGGTGGCGCAATAAAAAGCCAGAGAAACTCCCCTTGTGTTGCAACCCATGGTGCGCCATCCAATTCCCAAGCAAAGTTGCATAAAACAAGTTAAAGGGGCAAAAAAAGTGCAAAGTCTGGATACCGTTGGCAGGAGCAACGCTCATGCGTCAGGTGATCAAATGTCCCTGTTCTGTATTGTAAATTCGATTGACTGCAATTGCCTGACGCCCAACTCCATAACCAACAAAAATACCCCCTTCAACCCCTTCATTCTGTTTTTATGTTGGAAAAGAACACAACACATAGCCAGCAATCTCCAGGCTAGCGTACAGCACTCGGCCAATTCCTGACAACCTTGACAGCCCCCTAAGACAAGATACCCACAAATGGCCAAACACGCGTTGTTAAACGATTTTTGGCAGAAGCAAGAAAGAGGCTGTACAACTGACAGCTACATCAAAAACACTTCTAGCAACACACTTCCTTGGCAGGGCACCAAGGAAATCCACAAACCAAGAGAAGCCCACTGCCAACAACAGCACCCACAAAGCAACAAAAACTCTGAAGGGCCCTGTGGGCCAGCGAGCAGTGTTCCAGCTTTGTGCTCAAACCAAATCTTGGTTTTCACACGATCCAAACGCCATACCTGTAAGAAAGGTCCCAGCGGCCATTCTTCCAATCGTACATGACCGCGAACTGCAGTCTAAGCCATCCAATCTCCATGGAGGGAGTGAATGCTTGCAGCCTTCCAAGTGCAGGAGCCACGACAATCTTTTTCACATATTTGTTGGTTTTCTTGGCGGCGCTCATCTGCCACAGGACAACAACACATCCCACACCTCAGGGAACCCATCCGCTGCCGCATGCAGCACGCATACTGGGGCTTCAAATCAAGAAGCGTTAGCTCCCACATGCACAAAACATTAACAGAGCTCCCAGCCGTTCTAGTCCCTGTGACAGACTGTTGTATTCTCGTCCAAGGGATTCCATCAGGATGCCTTTCTTGCAGTGGCTGTATGTACTGGAAGCGCAGCAGGAGTTCATGCAGAGCACAAGGAGCCAAAGATTGTCTCTCCTTCAAGGGAGAGTGGCACACAATGGTGACCTCCCCCTGAGAAAGAACTGTCAGGTGAGACTCCTTTCCATCCTTTGCAACATGTACTTAGTGCCTGCAGAAGCGTCCGAGTGCGATAGGAACAGCGTGCAACAGAGGGTGGTGCGTACACAGCAATACATAGAATATGATTGTCGAACCTGTCCACGCACCGTCAAAGCCAGGTGGGGTGTTGATTCCGCTGGAAGCAGCGCGTCAGCAGATATCTTCAGTCCGCTGAATCTGCAGCAGCACCAGGCGCAAAGGTGAGAGGGGACGCTTGCGCGCTCCAACGAGCCAGGCAGTTGCTGGGAGGGGGGGGCCACCAAAGGTGCCGCGCGGCAGGTCGGCCCTTACTCGAAGCGTAACGAGGCCTCAAAACCACTCACAGCCAAGCCCAATCCCTTGACGAGCACGCGCAAAGCATCACACCGGCAGTGGCGTCAACGCGGCCCAATCCGGTGCCTCTCAGCAATCCCGCCAGACCAAATCCTGAGCAACCGACCGTGCGTCCATCCGCGCTGCCAGCGATTTCTTGCGCCAGATTTTACAGGCCGCCGTGGGACTCACATCCTGCTCAGCCGCAGCTGCACCAGGGCGGGCCGAAGGTTGGCCCTGTAGTTGCGCTGAATCTCCTCCAGCCACCCCTCCGGGCCCGGCCTCCTCGTCCGTCGCGTGTGGTACCGCCGCAGGCCGCTGCGGTAGGCGCCATTCGTCAGCGCCATGCCATGTACGGGGATGCCGATCGCGGGGCAACCCGGCGCGGCGCCGTCGCCCGGCGGGCCGGACGGCCGCGGGGACGGATGGCTGCGACCCCCGTCGGAGCTCACGGAGTCCGCCGAGTCGCGCACGGGGCGCATTGCGGCGGGGTCATCGTGCGGGCACAGGAGAGAGGCCTCTGGCGCGGCCATGGGGCGAGGCGCCGCGCGGCTGGCCGCTCGCGCCCTGGCTGGGAGCGGTGCAGTGGGGCAGAGCGGATGGACGGAGTGGGTCAGCCGGAATTGCTTGGGGTGCCAGAAATCCATTGGGAGGGGGCGGTGTACTTTAGGACAGTGTTGTGTGGAGCTAAAGTAGGGAATGTGAGGAAGATGCGTCTTGTTTGAGCAATGGGCGACAGTGCACGGACGTCGGGATGTTCGGGGCACTCTGGCGGAACTGCCGGCAGACTTTGGAGCGAGTTCGGAATTGGCATCCTGTCCACCAAGGAGGAGGGCAACGGCGTTGTGCTGAGGTTGTGAGGGTCCGGATCCTCTCAGGCGGCAGGCGGCGATGGCATGAGCGTCAGGGGCGTCATTGAGATTGGCGACACCCCGCAAACTGCCGTTTGAAGTGGTGCACCCCTTCGGACGAGTCTCCAGTGTCGGCTTTAGTCATCAGCCCCACAAATTGAACCACGGTCGCTGAGAGGGCGTTTCCCTGGTGATTGGCAATGCCATTTGTTTACTTTGTCCCGAACCGCCGAAGGCTAGGCAATTTCCCTCAGCAAATTAGTATTCTGTTACCCGTCTCAAAACTTACTCACGCACTTGTCAAGGGCACGAACGAGCGTGACGAATTGCATTTGTGGGCAGATCGGTGTCCACAAAGCCAGTACCATGTTGTGTCAGGGTGCCTGCCCTGTATCAGTGTCTTGATCCCCTGCTTGGCTTGAGCTAGATTCTTTTGGTCAGAAAATTTGGATATGTGTACTAGTCGCAACTCGTCTATGCCGATCGGAAGGCAACATGCGGCAGAGGATGTCAAGGGGATGTTCTTCGGTCGCTGTCTCCGTGTCAAGTAACACGGCCATGTGCAAATACCATGCAAACGTTTTTGCGCTTACGAGTGTTGAGAACAATGCAATGGGTGTTGTGCTCCTGATGCACAAGACTTCAGAGTTTAAAGAACTCAATTTGCATCTGGGGCTCCCGATTTGTTCCCATGTGCCTTCCCACCCATGAACACTGCAAGTTCTGCTTATGGACACCCTGATTGTGCAAGACAAAGGATACTAGTAGGCTGTGGTGTTCCTAGCTTGGTGACCACTACATCTCTGTGCAGGGTTCTCTGGACTGGACTGCAACATGTGTGCTCCGCATGATATGGAATGATGCCCAGACATGTGCCATTGTATCTGCATGTCCGTTGTCCCCTAGCTCTGGATTGTTGGTGCGATTCCGATCCTGCTGCAAGGGGGTGGTGGGACGTGTTCATTTCGATTCAAAACTGTCCCATTTCATGTGCGAGGGCAGTGGAATGCAAATGTGTCATTTTCACAACCTTGGAGCTGTGCAGAAGTTCATGGTTGCACCCAAGCCAGGTGCAGGGACTCTAATGGAGATGTGTCAAACATGTCAATAGTGGCTGGCGGCATGGGCAGGGGTGCTGCTGCAGCTTGATTGTGGTTATTGTCTGGGCTGATCTCAAACTGTGTTTTTCTCTGGGCCAGGTGATGGTGGTCCCACAGTTCACTAACGAACCACCGATGCTGTAGTTGGCTGTAGTTTTGCGCTGCTCATCCACAGAAGGCCTTGAAATGACGCCAGCACACGACAACTTCAAGGGAACAAGAGACAATGCTTCAAGATCTGAGTTTGCTTGGTGCTGGCAGCTCTCTGCTTGGTTCCAACAATGATCCCTTGTCTGCAGATCATTGGTGGTGTAAATGGCTGTGCCGGAAGTCCAGCAAAGCTGCCTCCATACCTTGTCATCCCACTCAAGTGCCTCAGAAATGTAGGGATTCCGATGGCTCTTGCGGGGAATGGCCGACTATGTGGTGCAATGTGGCCCAAGGACTTTGTACCAGAAACTCTGTCCTCTGGTTGTACTGGAAATGATTTGGTGACAGTTAGCTGGACAATTTGCATCACAACCCTCTGTCCATCCGCCGGAACCTCTCCAGCGCCACAGCGAATATGACATCCTAGAACCAGGCCTGCCCAGCAGCAAACAAAAGCAGCCATTCATATCAAGGAAGTGAGCATCCAACTTCCCAAGCCCCCGTGCCACACAAGGTCAATGCTCAAACAAAGTGCACTACCTCCGTTGATCTCAAGGGACTTTAAAAGAAATGGTGTTCAGCGGTGCTCCCTCCATCCTGCTCCTTGCATCGTAAGGTTGGCAAGATTCGGTACAGACTCAAAAAAGGTTTCTGAATGGCACAATTACAACCTAACCAACGGTTGTTTCACACGAGTCTCCGTTGGTGGTTCAGAGTGCCAGCGCGGCGTCCTGGTTCTCGACAATCTATTTTGTTACAGAAAATCCAACGAGCCCCGTGAACTGCAAGCCACCCACCCCACCCAGCATGACTCATGCGCCTGACCGTGCACCAAACCTGGAGATGTGCCCCACGATCAGCCCCCCCGCAGTACATTGCGTCCGCGCTGTGGGGCCCCTCCCAACGCGCCGCGTTACGTGAGCCCCGGCGAACAGATTCGCGAATCGGGGCGTGCGGCTGTGCGGGGGGACTCACACGTACAAGGGTGGACATGGCGCGATACGGCCGGGCCGGCATATGACGGCAGCGCCCTCCGGGCACGGGGCTGTGCGCGAAGAAGGGGCCCAATCTCGAGGCAGCACCGCCCGAGCGAGCGGAAAGGTGGGGAAGGCGCGCCGCGCACGTCGACGTCCAGCAATATCGCGGCGCGGGTCGCCGAGAGCCCTCTTCGGGGTGCCCAACTCATCGGCGCTTTCGGGTTCACCTTGGCAGGTGCTGCGCGGGGATCCCGGTCGGGCTGGCCTCATTGTGGGCGGCGCTGCGAAATCTAGCGAGTCGATCGCCGCGCACGGGACGGATGGGGGTCGGGAGGATGGCCCCGTAGGACGGAGGAGGGGACAGCCGAGGGGGATCGACGCTGCAGTCCCGGCGCATCGCGGGCGCCTGGGCCGTCAGGGAGAGGAGGAGAGGGCGCCGGGTGGCGGATAGCGGAGGCGGGGTGGAGCAACCGCGAGGCGTCGCCTGTGCTGGCCTTCCATAAGGGTGGGTCGCTCGCGAGGGGCCCGGGCAAAAGGCGTCGTACTGCGCGGGCCGATGATCAGTACTGGGGCGTGCATGGGCGTGGGCTGGGCCGATATTTTTTCGCGGTTTTCTGTTGTCAACCGATTGGTCGCAGTACTTTGGGGACTTGGGGTGGGAGCGCCAGAGATTTAGGTGGCGCGCCCCGGCTCGCCCTGCGCGGACGGCCGGGCGTCGAGGTCGTGTGTGCCTGCTTGGCGCATGCGGCCAAGGCGCGGCGGGATGTTCTGGCGCGACAGGCGCGCGCCGCGGCGGTTGCACGCGTCGCCGAGCAAGAGATGGTTTGCGGTGCAGGATGTTCGCGGGGTAGCGGCGCAGGCCGGCGCTGGAAGAATGACGGAGAGGAGATTAGCTGGCGGGAGAGAGGCAACTTCGCAGGCGGCCGAAGAGGCAAGTGCGTGGGCGGCGGTTGCCGGAGCCCGGGGTGCTCGCTCGCTGCGAGGGAACCGCGTCGCGATGGCCGACACGCCGCGGCGCGCCACGTTCTCGCGCCCGAGCGCGCCCACCGCCGGTGTGCATCGGGGCGTGCGTCCCTGTTCCTGGCTCGCGGAAGGATCGCCGGATTGCGGCCTGACGTTTTTGCGACGCGTTTGCCGCAGGCGCGTGCCGCCGACTGGGATAGCCTCCCCACGGACGTCATCGGCCTCATCGTCACGGTGTTCTCGCCGTTCGCGACCAAGAACCTGCAGGCCCTGCGGCTCATCAGCGGCCACTGGCGCCGCAGCGTGGACGCGACCGTGGAGCGCCTCGTGGTGCTGAGCCATAAGGGCCGGCCCGACCGGTCCGTCTCCGCCCTCCTGGCCACCGTCAGCCGCAAGTTCGCGGCCCTTAAGGCGCTCCACGTGCGCGTGCTTCGACTGGGGCGCGACAGCATGGCGCGCGTGGCGCACCTGTCCAACCTAGTGTCCCTGGATCTGGGCTTCACGGGGATCGGCGACGACTGCCTTCCCCACGTCCTGCGCCTGCCGCGCCTGACGTCCCTGGACCTGGGGTTCACGCGGGTGGGAAACGCCGGCGTGGGAAGGCTGCCCGCGCTGTCCGACCTCTCGACGCTGTGCCTAAGCGGCACGCGGGTCAGCAGCGAGGCGCTGGCGCACCTCTCCGCCCTCCCCCTCACATCCCTCGACCTGGGGCACACGCGCGTGGGCGGCCCGGGCTTCGAGCGGATCGCAGATCTCGCCCCCCTGCGCCGGCTGGGGCTGGGCAACTCCCTGGTGGGGGACGAGAGCCTGAGGCACCTGGCGGGGCTGACGAATTTGGCGATCATCGACCTGTGGCACACGTTCGTGAGCGACTCGGGCGTGATGCACCTGTCCGGCCTGGACGGCCTGCGGACGCTGTACCTCTACGACACGCAGGTGAGCTCGCTGGGCGTGCAGCACCTGTCGCGCCTCAGCAACCTGTCTATACACAAGGAGCAGGAGTACTGGGGATGGTCCTGACCGGCGGTGGATGCGACGGCTGCCCCCGCCAAGTCGTGTGCGGGCGGCCGCCCGGACCGGTTTGGAGGAACCACTTTTTTGCGCAAGTTTTGCTGTAGAATTTGTAGGGGGGTGTGGATTGTAGCTGACCGATATAAATAGCCTCGACGGCGAACAGCCGATTCCCGGCACTTTCATAAAGCGCGGAGTGGTGCATGGTTCTTGAGGGATTTAGCAGTGTTGTTGTTAAGGGGATTTAGCAAGGAATGAGGGATTTGGACACACTTACTTTAGGGGATTTTTTAAAAATTTCATACTTCTTGAACAAGCCAGGGTCAGCAAATTGCTCGCCACCTGTGCTGCCCTGCAGCCAACCACCACCACCCAGTTTTCCAGCATCGAGCACTGCTTGGGAACGAAACTGAAAACCAACAATGTTGTGCTTGTACATGATACCCGAGCCCTTGCCACACCGCCGCACTGCATAAGGACACACGTTTGAAACTGGCCTTGTGTGCCCCAATTTTGCCCGCACAGCCTGGTAGTGCAGGTTCCAGTACAGCATGGTGGGCCATCAGACTATTTGACCTATCCAATCTCTATCTAAAAATGGCTTCATAGCCTGGACATCTGCCGCTCCCTGCTCGATGACGGTGCAATGAGCGATGGGGTGATGTCCTGGATGCTGCTGGTGCCACACAGCCCCATCCCCAGTTTGAATTCCTCTTTTAGCTTCTGGATGGCAGTCCACACGCCCTGCTCTCCTCCCACAGCCAGTGCGTACAGCAGCGGGCGGCCCACAAGCACTGCAGAGGCACCCAAGGCAAGAGCCTACGATGTGCACAGGCAAACCGTAAGGCCAAGCTGACGTCGCATCGACAGGCTACAGCAAGTGCACGGACACCATGCCAGTCTTGAGTCCATTCTGTTGTCAGACCACACGCCATATCCCCATTGTTAGGCTTGGCAGAAGGCGAGTACTCCAAAAGACGGTAGCCGAGGTCGACAGCACTGGCTCGGGACGACGTTTTCGTGCACAAAATGTACGGTCTCCAAACGTTCATGGTAACAAGATGAACAAAAGCGATGGAGGTTCAGCTGAGCATTCAAGACCAAACCCACACAGCTGCGGACATCTTTCGCTTTCCTGTCATTAACTGGGGCTTTTGGTGAAGTGGGCAAATGTGATCCAACTTGGCCAGGACGAACATCATTGCTCGACATGGGCTCAGTGCGATTCGTGAGTACCCAAGGCCAGCACTATTAAGGGTCGCGCTGGGGTCACAGCCCAATTAAATAGGCAGAGGTTGGCCGCCGCTCCAATTCTGCTGGACTGTGTCCAGACCAGCGGGGCTTCCCACCTTCACGACATCAGTGCCTCTTCGAATCCCTCCGTCAACCAGGACTGGAATACGCCCACGAACCCTTGCCACAATCGCGGGCAGGGCGTCGCAGGAAGTTATGGCAGTGTCCTGTGCGCAGCACACTGAACCTCATTGTCGGCTATTCTCCTCCCAACTGATGCACAAGCTGTCAAGTCAGCCACACATACAGTGCACTTTCGACGCGATTTTTCCCACGATCGCCAGGAGGTCAATTGTAGATGACAGCCGGGTCCAATTAAGCTCGACCGCAGGCACCACACTGCACAGATGCGTTTGGTGGGATGGAGTCATGAACTCAAAGTCTGTCCAAGCATTCCGGAACGTGGATTGCGTGCGAATATTATGAAGACATCACAGCAATATCTGTCGCAGGCAGCCCGCTAACATGCCCATGCAATGCAGCAGAACGCAGCAAACGCTTCAGTGCTCCGAGGATGTAGGAGCAGTCCTTGGAGCGCAAAACAACGTGCACTGTCAGCCTCCAGGGCTAAACCTTTCCACCCATAAAACTGTGAAGTTGTGGGCGGCTCGGGACTTGCCAGTTGGCGCCCTCCATGATTTGAAACAATGATCCCATCCACTCCTCTGTCCACGGCGATGGCAGCATCCTCAGGGGACAGCAGTCCCTACACAGAATCAACACATCAGGCACTCCTCCCCACAAATCCCTTCTTCTCGGCTCAATAATACGGCAGCAATTGTCCCTCCGCATTGGCTTTGGATGCGGTTGTCCAGGATGGCAATGTAGTTAATATACCCCCAAATTGGGTTGTGTGACATGGTGATACATTTTCCTGACAACTTTATGCTATAGGAGGCTGGCAGAAACTTACGGTTGGTATCTCTCCTCAGCTCCCTTCCGGCACAGTCCATGTTCATTTGGCTTGAATTTCAAGTACAGGAATGTACATGTAAAGCTGGCCCGGATGCGCCAGTGTGTGCTGGGTTTTGGTACTCCAAAGGCTGCTTTCATGGCGTCACCAGCAGCGAAAGTTTCAGAGCAAAGCCACACCACTCAAAAGAGGGAGCGGCGACATTACATTACCACTGAAACCTGCACAGCCACAGGCGGTTTCAGCCTTTCGTACGCATTGATGAGCCGTTGTCGGTCGGCTGTGCCTTTTCACACACTGTAACTGCGATAGGCTCTACGGTTTTCGGGGTCAGATGACTACATGGGAGACATTGCCTATCGTCGCCGCGTAGATGCTGAGCACTATTTTTGTCGAACAACTGCTTGACAAACGCACTAAAAGAGGATTTGCATTGGATCCACATGGGCAGAGATTGTCCGCGATTCATATCCCTACAGCCACCGTCTATTTTCTGGTGAGTCCGGCTGTGCAGAACGTCGCTGGTCAGGACAACTACTGACCTTCACCAAGACTGGCAGTTTCGAAACATCCTTTAGCCACGTGACGATTTCCCATGTTAGACCCGGGTCAATGTCCTCAGAAAAGGCTTGGGTCAACATTGAACCTTGCTGGGAATCACCATGCATGAGGTTGGATACGACCCCCAGACGCCCCTGCAGATTCTTCAAATGTAGGTCGTCTGGCAGTGACAGCCTGCACCACAGACGGCAATCCCAATCTCAGGTTACACGTGCCGCTGTTTGTTGCACACGCTCAAGTGCATCGCCAAACTGCAGGTTGGCTGCGCTTTCTCTTCAGCGCTAACCGTGCTATACATACTTTTTACCCCACTTAAGCAGCGCACAATGCGTGCCTATGGAGACGCGTGTTCATCCTATAATTGTGCTACCCAGTGGGAGAGAGTGACCCCAAGGTGCTCACTCCACTGATGAAGAATTGAAAGTCAATACCAGTATCCACTGCTAATCTGCACTCCTTTCACAGATTGTGACGTTAGAGCACTGCTGACCGTCAACATTTTATGCCACATATAACCTTTCATTCCATTTCTATGTAAACCTATCTTGTGCACTTCGCACTGCCAGGGTGAGCAATGCAACAGGCGCAGGAAGACTGTCAGCAATAAACATAGTGGCTGCTTTTAGAGAACTACAGTAAGATGGCCACAATTCGATCTCCAACAACATCCAAAGCTGAGCAGCGTTGCCCCGAAGTTCCAGCACCAACCATTGTTTGAGATGTTACAGGTCCACCAACATGGCACGCACCTATTTCTCACATCTGCCTCCCGATTCCCAAGATAGGGCACATCCACAGTGACGACCAAGGCCTTGTACCCAAGAGCCACGGCCTCCTCAATTAGCTTTTGAGTGATGTCACGGTGCCTGTCCCCAAAGCAAGTTTGTATCAATTGCTAAGTAGCCTGGTCTCTTGGGCAGGATGCCAACGCCAGTGCCAATGCCATACTCTCTAATGTGTTTCTTTCATCCCAGCCATGATGCTGCACGATGTATGGACATTGCACGAAGGGAAAGAAACTGGACAGGACGGAGTGTGTGGCTACAGTGACATCGGACTATTGTTACCCAACAATTGTTCAGGCAATGCATACAGTATGCCAAACTGACCTGCAGCGGGATTTCGCAAGCCATGCAACTGGTTGGATCATTTCCAATTCGTTTGCTCGAACCTGATGCAGTGCCATGTTAGTATAATGTGATTTCATCAATTACTACACACCGTGCAGGCCACGACTTCGACATTTTGCCAGGTGTCTGGCCACATACCTTGTCACATAGATTTGGAAAAGGAGGAGTGGTGAGGGGCATACAGTCGCAACTTCCTCCAGGCTGGAAGTCGCCATCGTGGACAGCACCTGACTCCAGACCCCACATCAGCAGTGAGCTCAGTGGCATCCTCATGTATCCATAGTTCACAGCAGGCAACAGAGTCTTTTCTTGGCACTGCACTGCAAGCTGAGGCACCAAGAGAAATGAGCAGCTTGTGCATCAGATTCAGAAATGTGCAAATCAGATCTGCTGTGTGGCAGTCAAAAAGTTACCTCTTTCTTGTCAAGATACTGCCCAACAGCCTCAGCTAAATGCAGGTGTACAGCAACCATTGACCAGCATGCAAACCCGATTGGACTTGGGGACGTGGCCTGAGCTGCGGCAAAAACCGTAACAAGTGGATAACTTGAATCAACCAAGGGAGAGTGGAGTTGGGGATGACAAATGAGCGAGGGAGCAATGGAGATTGGACACCAAGTTCCAGCCAACCTTCTGTTCACATTTGCAACTGGAAAGAATGGCAGCCAATATTTGGGCCTCAATTAACTGGGTTAGTTCCTTGTTGGGTTCTTTGTTCAATGTCAGCAATATCTCAAGTACAACACGATGTCCATGCTCGTATGTCTTAGCATTAAACCGAAGCTAAGCTCCCCCTCTCCTTTCTCGAGTCCATCCCTGTAATGTTGCCGACTCAGCACTATCACCTAATAGCACAATGGAGCACTTGAGCACACAAGATGGAGTAAGCCTCCCTGTTGGCGTCCCAAATATAAAGGTGTGGGGCAGTTGGACTGAGTGATGTAAGCTACAGGCTATGTTAGGAACACAGCTCTTATCTGGAGGGGCGGGGTTTGACAATTTAGTGGAATGATCAAATTGAAACCCAACCATCTGAAATACAATGCATTGCATCTATTATCTGAAGTCCAAGGGAATGCTGTCTTTGTGGCAGATTTTCACGTTTCTAAACCTATAACTTCGGAAAACAAAGACAGAGAAACAGCGACATTAAGAAACAAGGACACATTTGTTGTGCTGGTGGTGCTCATCCAGCCTGCTAGTACTTCAGCCAACACACCATCGGTATTCCATGTCTGGCTGCGGCCTTCGCCATTGCCCTTTCCCCGTCCCGATGCGCCAGGCGCTGCATGGCCATGGGCGGGATCAACACCGGGAATGCTAAGTCGTGCCCTGCGGTGGTGCAGAATGAGGGTGGCGTTGGTGGACCTTGCGACAAATGCTTGCAACAACAAGGCTTCCAAGCGCTTTGCACGCCGCTCCATACAGTGGGAAGAGTTCGAAAACTCTTACAAAACCAAGAAACATCAGTCGCCACTCCGTTGTTGACAGCGCCAATCGGTGGACCAATAGGGACACGTGTTTTGCTGGATGCCAGTTTCTGAATGCACGAGACTCTTGACAACTATGATCCAGAACGCACAGAGGCGACGACGAGGCTCCCAAAGAGCTCATTGCTTGTTTGTAAGCCCTCAGGCATTGCCGAGGTAGTGAAGCGTCCGTCCGTCCGTCTGAAACACGTACCCAACACTCGAGCGGATGTGTCCACATCTGAAACGCCCCTGAGCATCCGTGGCACCAGTCGCAGCCGTTTCCAAGCCTCCCTGCTCTCTCGCATCGAAATCTCGTCGTCGGCGCCGCTCCTGTAGTAATCGAACGCCGTTCTCTCCATGGAACCTTCCGCCAGCCCCTCCAGCTCCTCCAGATTGACAAACTCCGGCACGCCCATTGTGTCCCGGAGCTGCAACACGGAGCACTTGGTAGGCGAGCGCTTGCGATCCGGCACACTGTCCCACGCAAAGGCAGGCGCACAGTGCAACTTTTTGTTGGGCCACAGAACGCCCTCCGCCCAACTCCTTTGACCAATCCAGTGACGGGGAGTATCGCTTATCGTATTGCTCCCTGTGCAACCTGGAGCTCTCCTACCTAAACCCAACCCAGCCCGCTGTGGCCCCGTCGCAAGAAGCATAGCACTGAACTAAAAAGGGACTGCTAGATTCGTGAACCGGAGCAGTTACAAGGACTGTTTAGCGAACTTGCCCAAGTGGTGGTCTGTTCCGCACCTCGTTCTTGTGCATGTCTAGCATGTTTTCAGTTCGCAAAAGAGAATATGGACACAACATTGTCAGGGATGCCGCCTAATCTTTCGTGGCAGTTAGCGTGGTCATGAAGTGCCATCAGAACGCCGCCTTCCGTCAGACTGGCAATTCGCATTGCCATGAATCGCAATTTCTTGGATTGTCGAGCTTTTTCAACTGCCCATTTCACATGCCATGAATCTGCGAGGCGTGTGGTAGATCCAACAGTTCAGTGGGACATTTCTGAGCCAGTATCACAGGGCCTTGGAATCCTGGTGCGCTTTTTGACATATGTGCGATGTGCGTGGGCTCGTGTGGGACATGGGGATTGATGGTTGCGATTGATTTTTCTTCACTACGTGCACTGAACATAGTCCATGGGGATTTTATTCACACCAGCTCACTGCATTTCATGGGACAATGGGGTGTGGCAATATGGGACCATGAACAATCGATTCCGAACAAACTATTTGCATGGTTTTGACCCATCATCGCCTACTAGGTGCACAGGCTGTGTTTTGTCATTTTGTGACAAATGTAATCCATGGATTTTGATGATGATGAAACGCAATCAAGGCACAAGACGGCCAGCTCGCATTGGTCACCGGACCAATGCGTCCAGTACATGCGTCCTGTACCCCCAACGCACCCTCCGACCGTATCCTTTGCAGAGCCCCCACAAGATCCCAACCCACACCGAGGACCACGCGCGCCGTACATGGGTAAGGAAAACCACCCACCACTGTCAGGCCACCTCCCCCCCCGCAGTACATAACAAACTTTCAACGGCGGCCGCTGCTGCGGCCGGCGCCAAGTTGGCACTGCACAGGACTATACCTGTGCGGGCGCGGCGGCCGTCCCGTCGGCCCAACCGCTGCCCTGGCCGCCTTCCGCAACCGACTGCCCCTGGCCTCGCCCGGGCCTCAGGGCATGACCCTCGAACACCTGTCCGGGCCCCTGGGCCGGGATCGGCCCCGGCCGCATCCCCACGCCCCGCCGCCCTGCCATTTGCGCGCAATCCACCCCGCAGCCGCCTGCGGTGATCGGCAATCTTCCCGCCATCCGATTCAATGGCCGCGCCGGCGGCATCCCGCAGCTCCCCTGGTGATGGCGCGACCGTGCGCGACCCGGGCGGCTGTCGCCGATCCCGCAGCAGCGGCGGAGGAGGCATCCGCGGCAGAGTGCCCGAGGGGCCCGGCGTGGCACGTGCACAAGTTCGGCGGGACGTGCCTTGCCAGCCCGCAGAGGATAAGGGACGCGATGCGGGTGGCGGTGGCGGACCCGGCAGAGCACAAGCTGGTGGTGGTGAGCGCGATGGGTAGCACGCCAGCGTCGCCTATGAAGGTGACGGACATTATGCTGTCGATGATCGACAAGGCGGCGCGGCAGGACGTGGGGTTCATGACGGACCTGTCCGTGCTGCAAGAGAAGCACGTGGCGTGCGCGAAGGAGCTGCTGGGTGAGGGGAAGGAGCTGAACGAGTTCCTGGGGCGGTTGATGGACGACGTCGGGAACTTGAAGTCGATGCTGGAGGCAATTTCGATAGGTGGGGACCTGGCCAGAGAGTGCGCCGTCTTGTGGCGGTCGACGTCGTCAGCTCATCAGGCCGTGGGGGGCAATCTCTGCAAGGAAAATCCTGCCCAAATGGCTGCATGTGACTATGTGAGTGGCAATTCCACACCTTGAATAAAGCAGGGGAGAAATGCAAGGTTACAGTTTGTGTGCGTGGAGAATCTTTTGGTGCACATTTCCAGCGATTTGTGCTGTGTTTTGGGCCGTGGAGCGATAGGCCTTGTGGTCTTGCTTGTTTGTGTGGACAAGCAAGATGGCAGCCATTCCCCGGAACTGGCATTGTGTTTGTGATAGCTGTAACTGAGTTTGCTGATCATAAAAGCAAATTCAGGCCCAATAGCACCCTTCAATATGTTGGTACACACCCCATGACAACTGTCACTGTTTGCTTCCACCAAGCCAACCCAGCAGCACAGAATTCAGTGCATTCCCATCCTTCAAGAACACACAATGTACTGGGTTTGCCTCCAAGTTTGGGGGTGCCTCAATTTTGTTCAGTGCTGTCACACATCAGCCATTGCTCAGACATGACACAAATACTTGGGGTCTGCCAATGAGTGATGTGCAACAGAGTGCAAAACATGGCATGAACTTGCATTGACTATGCTGCTTGCAAGGGTAACCAGTGCAGTTCACGTCGACCAAAAGCAGCTGAAAAGTCAAAAAATTTGGACCCTGGTAATCCCACTTTGCCCCATCGTGAATGCTGCCCCATTTTCCGCATTTCCATAGATGAGAAGTATCTGCTTCTTTCTATCTCGTACATTTTGTACTAATCATTGCATGCAATGCTGTCAACATTCTGATATATGCACATTCTTTCCTGCCAGCCGCTCTGGCGACTGAGGCATTCACAGACTTTGTGGTGGGCCACGGGGAGCTCTGGAGTGCCCAGCTTGGTGCGGCAGCCTGCCGACAGATGGGCTGCGACGCAGCATTCATGGACGCCAGGGACATCCTTGTCGTGACACCCACACCGGACAAAGTCTCAGTGGACATCAACTACAGCGCCTCGAACAAGAACCTGGACGACTGGTACGCGAAGCACAACGGCAACCCTTCAGTGATTGTTGCCACAGGGTTCATTGCGAGGAGCTCCACAGGCCAGATAACCACCCTCAAGAGGAATGGGAGTGACTACTCTGCCACCATCTTTGGGGCCCTTTTCAGGAGTTCACAGATCACCATTTGGACAGATGTGGATGGAGTTTACAGTGCTGATCCACGGAAGGTGTCTGAGGCGTTTTGTTTGGGGGGCCTCTCCTATCATGAGGCCTGGGAGCTGTCATACTTTGGTGCCAATGTGTTACACCCACGGACAACGCTGCCAGCCATGAAGTACAACATCCCTATCACGATTCGGAATTTTTTCAATCAGGAGGCCCCAGGAACCAAGATTGGCTTCCTTGACAAGGAGGATTCAAGTGAGAGCAGCATCAAGGCGTTCTCAACAATGGATGACATGAACCTAATCAGTGTGGAGGTAGGTGAACCAGACACAATGTATGGTACAATTTGGTTCACGATGCCCACCAAACATATAGCGCAAGTATTCATCGACATAATGGGTGGGCCAGATCACAGCCTTTTGACATTTTTGCCTTCATTGCGATCCCCATATGAGAATTGTGAACATGTCACTGCTTGTTTATTTGCTGGGCAAAATCTGCTTTCCACTGCCATGAGACATCTGCCTGCCTGGTAGATTGCCGGTTGGAGACTGTCCCAGGGTATCGCTCAATGCCTACCTGGCAGCAATGCAGGAAAAGAATGCCACCTTTTTCACTGCAAGAGCTGTGCTACTGCAAGACGTGGTGCTGACCACATTCAGTATGCAGCAGCACGTAAGCAAGTAAAAATTTGCACCAGCACTTGAAATTGGACTTGTCTCGAGAGACATGATTGCAGGGTGTGGCACGCAGGCCGCAGAATTTTTTGTTCTATGAAATGGGAAAGGGCGGTGCTTGCTTTTACAAATTCCTTTTGGGGGATTGGACACTCATTGTCTCTTGCAAAGTGGGTTCTTTTGCAGATGCCTGTGCCTGTCTAAGAACTTCTCAAGGCCTGTTTTTGGGATTGGTGGCCAGGGCACAGGAATGGCTGGTGTGCCTGGCATTGCTGCCAAGATATTCAATGCCATTAAGGATGCAGAGGTCAACGTCAGCATGATCTCAGTGGCCAGCTCTGAGCAGTCCATTTGTTTTGCTGTGAGAGGTTTCGACGGGGCCAAGAGTGTCCAAGTCCTGAGAGAAAGGTATGCATCCCTCAACCGTTGCGCTGCTTCTGATGTTCATTTGGCATTCATAGGGGTTAGTTTATTTTATGGTGAACGCCACTATATCATTTTTATGTGGCTGGCAACAGAACAATGGCTCCACAAACAATTGTTCCAGTTCTGTGGTGGTGCCTATGTGGCCAGAAATCAGCCTGGATTATAATTCTGCCAGTTGTAGTTGCAGCAGCAAATGGCAGTTGCACAGAAGGGTGGCTTTGAACAACTGTGCAGTGACTGAATGGCATAGGTGCTTGTGGCATCTCATGAGCAACAATGCTGAAATCAAGTCACACATCGAATCTTTCACCCTTCACTGTATCAAGCAGTGCGGAAGGCTGTGTTGGCGTGTCCAACCCTTCAACTTTGCCCTGGAGCAGCAGAATGCCCAGTGCAACATGGAACGACCAGGGAATTGACCTGAGGGTGGTGAGTGGATGGCACCATGTAGCCTAGTGTCATATTGTTGAGCACAGCATATCATCATCGCAGCCACAATTGTCACCTGGAGTCCAGTCGAGCAGCAGCTCACTATGTGCAGACATCCAAAGTGCCTGATGCTTGCAAGCTGGTGGATGCGCTGAGCAGGAGTACATTTCTTATGCAGATTCTCTGAGGAGCTGAAGGCTGGTGTAATCTCCAGCATCGATCGCATCCAGAATTGCTGCCTCCTTGCTGCAGTTGGCCGTCAGATGGTGAATCGCCGTGGGATGGCAGCCACTCTTATGACAGCACTTGCAAAGGCAAACATAAACATCATCGCCATCGCCCAGGGCTCCTCGGAATATAACATCACTGTCCTCATCGATCAGGAGATGAGTGCCAAGGCCCTCCAGGCTGTTCACTCGCGCTTCTACATGTCTGAAGTGTCCATCGGCATCGGACTTATTGGGCCTGGTCTTGTGGGAGCTGAACTGTTGGAACAGATGAAAGAACAGGTGTGATATGGACAGTCAATGAATCCCCAATGTGGCAATAACACTGAAGATTTTTCGTTCTTTTCCTGAGTGGTGGTGAGACAGGTGGACAGTTGAGCCATCTTGATTATGTTGTGGCAACAAGACATGTGTTGTGTTGTTTGGGGACAGTCCAGAGTGTGCAAGTGTGTAGCTGTTGTGTCTGTCAGGTGCAGAACTGTTGCAGCGATTCTGCTCCCATGTAGTGAGACCCACGGAGCACATGTGTGCTTCTGTTTGCCAGTCAATACTTGCTTTGCATGGCTGGGCAAGGATACCAGCAGGACACACGTTCTACAATTTTTAGATTGAGTGCGTGTATGACTTCCTTCAATGCTATAGACTAGCATGTGGAAGCTCTCTGGACACATTTGCTGAAGAAACTTTGCAGCGAACTGGCAAGTGGAAGGAATCATGCAAAGTAGCAAAACATGCTCCTGTGCACAGAAATGAGAGTGCTTCTATGTTGTTTTGGCGCAGAAAGCATTGCTCTGTGACAAGTACAAGATCGACGTCCGGGTGTTGGCTGTGGCTGGCTCCAGCAAGATGGTGCTGCATCCTACTGGCATTGACCTGGAAAACTGGCGGCAGGTGTATGAAGAACAGGTGTGTGACTCGTTCACTGACGACAAGTAGTGCGCCATGCGTGTTCCCAGAAGCACAATGAACAGTGGCCAAATGCTTTGTCAGTGTTGTATCAGCTGCAAGTTGCTGTACCTTGTCTGAGAAAGCTGCGCCTATGGGTTCGTGCCTGGCCACTTGGCGCATGGACCCCACCTGGTGTTGCTGCTGCTTGTAGGGCATTCCAGCACATCTGCATCATGTCACCGTCCCCTTTTATGGTGTCCACAATGTTTCACAAAGTCAAGCTAAGTACAGCTGCTTGCAATGTACTGAAGAAGAGAAGCACTCAAAGAGATGAATACACCCATGACTGGCACCAAAGACAGCCAAGCCTGGCCCAGCCAGAATTGGCCATCTTCATTTCTATCTAGATCTCTACACAACAAGCGCACCAATTAAGCTCCCAACCAGAATTCCAGCCTAAGGATCAAACGTGAATACTTCACCACTGCCACCAAATGACTGCTGTCTGTGGCTTTCTGTCCCCTCACGGTATGGATGGGTGGGGGAATGGTAAGATTTGTGGAAAGTGAACCAAAAACAGGTGGCGGGGGGGGAGGGGGGGGGAAGTTGATTACAAGGACCATGTTAGACAATAGAATTATTTCTTCTTTTTGCGCTTTCAAGCCTGTCAAGTATGCCTTGCACAGGATGGCCGCAGGAGATACACACAGGAGCCTCTGAAGGAATGAGCAGTGTTGTGAATTATATTGCCCTTGGTCGCCTTGTTGATGTTTGGTCAATGGCATATTTTTTCAGGGGCAAATATGGGCAAAGTGGAATTACCAATCCGAACCTGAACTGCACCATATGGTGTGCTCTTGAAGGCATTGTAATCTTCTTGAGGCAGACCTGCAAACTTCGAATAAGTCAGATGTACTCTTTCAGTCCTATGTATTGGATAAAAAACGATTATGCAGTTGTGGTGTCATGCATCGCACTGGCAGAAAATGGCAAGAATTTTATTGAATCTGATGAATGTCATCACAGAAGGACACTCCATTTGTTTGCGTTCTGTGGCGTGTGTTCAGTCAGAGCCATGCGATCTCAGCAAGATTGCGGATCATCTGTCTGGCAACTATGTGGCAAACACTGTGCTGCTGGACTGTACAGCCTCCGACATGCCTCCCTGCCACTACCTGGAATGGATCAACAAAGGTATTCACATCATCACACCCAACAAGAAGCTGGGAGCTGGGCCCCTGGACCGCTATCTGGATGTGAGGAGGTCACAGCGTGAGAGCTACACGCACTGGTTCTATGAGGTGGGCATTGCTTCATGCTTTGCAACAGCTGCTGTGTTGGCTCATGAACATGGCACTTCACTTGCATGCTTGGAGACGTTTCTCTGGTGCAAGCATTGCTTCTTTTTACACAGGAGGCACATTGATAGTTGTGTATTGACAAGTGCTCAGCATATATTTAACTCAGATCACCTCCTAGGTATTCTTTCACAAGTTGATATTCTTTTTCTTGATATTGTGATATGATTCTTTCATCGACACTGAACTAAATGGACTGCTCATTTGCTGTTTTGCAAATTGTCAGGCAACAGTGGGTGCTGGCCTTCCGGTCATCGCCACATTGAAGCACTTGCTGGAGACTGGGGACAAGATTTTGAAGGTTGAAGGCATCTTTTCAGGAACTTTGTCCTACATCTTCAACGAGTTCAAGGCAGGCATGCGTTTTTCAGACATCGTGAAAGTGGCCAAGGAAAATGGGTACACAGAGCCCGATCCTCGAGATGACCTAGCTGGCATGGATGTTGCAAGGAAGGTGAGCTGTGTGTAAAAGCTACTTTTATGCTATAGACTTATGCACCAGAGGAGTTAAGTGACAGGACTGGATTGAGCAGCAGTTTGCAAAGCACTGTTTGTCAGCTGCCAGGCAATGCTGGAAGATGTACAGTAGATTCATGCTGACTTCATAGAAGGATCCTGCAGTCATCAAGGAATGCTGGAACTGTTTCGTTCTGCAGCCCACCATTCCTTCAAAGGTGGTTGTGCATTGCACAAGTGCCTGCTGGCCTGCAGGAACTGCATTTGATGGCATTTACTCATAAACCTTGAAAGCATCTCCAGCCAAGCACAGAGTTTACAGAGATTTGGGTGACTTTGTTTTTGTGTGATCGCTCGCTTTGCTTTCATTTGGCCCATTCTTTGCATTTTGGCATGAAACTGGAAAGCAGGTGGAGTGCTTTCTTAGTCACAGAAAGGACTCTTTATGCAAACTTCCAGTGCGGTGCCGTGCAGTGCAGCACATGAAGCATGTCAATATCTCACCACTGCTGTATTGAGATTTGGACGTCAGATGCTGTGTGTTCTTTGCCAGGAATGATTGCACTTGGGTGGCATGCCTTCTGGTGATATTGTCAGCGATATTTTGTGATATGCGAAACTGGTGACCATTACTGCTTTCAAGGTGCAGGGGCACTGTATTTACCTTTCTGAAGGCAGGCACAGCCAAATCCAGACGTCCAAAACGAACGACTGGCAGTAGTTGGCAGTAAGACGTTTCCTTGCTCTTCAGGTAACAATCCTTGCCAGGGAATGCGGTATGCACTTCGAGCTTGACGAAGTTCCAGTGCAGAGCCTGGTGCCAGAGCCCCTGCAGAGCACCGACTCTGTGGCTGAATTCATGGATCGGCTGCCAGACTTCGACGAGGACATGGGCCGCAAGATGGAGGCTGCAGAGGCGGCTGGGGAGTGTCTGCGATATGTGGGCACCGTTGATTGTGAAGGTGCGACATGCGCCGACCTTATCAACCTCGTTCTGTTATAGAAGTGCTCGTGGAGCTGTGTATCTGCAGCGGTCGCTGTGAAAAGAAGAAATGGCGTTCCCAGGGTGAGATCGATCCACCTTGTGTTGCAGCACTTGCTGAGTTTCTGTCGTTTTCATCGCGTTTCATCGCACTCGCATCATCATATCCCATTTGGCATGCTTCTACTGGGCACATCACCCTGTCCTATCAGAAGAGCTCATTTCATCTTGCTACAGTGCAAGTTGATGCCGTGACTCGAATGTGGCGGTGCGCCTGAACTCCAAAGCACATTGGCTCCCCATGCAATGCTCACCGGCTGCTGTTCAAAGCATAGTGAACCTCGTTGCCATTTGTGGAAGTTGTTACAGAAGTTACTGCGTTGCAGAGAGGTTGCAAAACCCGGATACACATGTCAAGGATATGGCCATATCCTGGAGACTTTTGTCCAAGATATGGGGCCCATACCCTATTCGATGTTCAGGATAGGGGGAAAGGATATTGGGACCCTATTTCCTACTCGACATCCGAGGTATGGGACCTTTGCTAAAGCGTGTGCAACAGTAGGAGTATGCAATAGAGCAGGCGTGAACACAGGCAACAACCTATCACTGACTACGCGCTTTCTGTTGAGTAGGTGGCACAGGGAAGGTCGAGCTTCGCTCTCTGCCGAAGAATCATCCTTTTACTCAACTGAGCGGCAGCGACAACATCATCGCATTCACGACCTCCAGGTACCGCATGCAGCCGCTGATGGTCAGGGGACCGGGGGCGGGGGCGGAGGTCACGGCTGCGGGGGTGTTCAGCGACCTCCTGCGGCTCGCGGCCTCTCTGGGGGCGCCAACGTAAGGGCAGCCCCGCGCCAACGTAAGGGCAGCCCCGCGCCAATTTGGCATCAGATTTCTGACGCGGTTGTCCGTGGCTGACGTTGCGGCCGTGGCAACAACGCAAATGCAAGATTTTGGAACGAGAGGGAGACAACGCAAGACGTGGAATAACGTATGGGGATGGTACTCAAAAGTGAACGATTTTCCAAGGCTTAGGATTTTCCGCAATTTTTGGCACGGTTGTGTTGACCTGCCAGTGGCAGCGACGAGGACGATCTGCTGCATGGGCACGTGTATTTAACTATTCGTGAATGGGATCCGGAAGGCCCCAGTTGTCCATTGGTTTGAGGATAGCCCCTCAAGCGTATGTAGGATTCCCTATGTAGCTGGGTGCCTGTTTTTTTTCGTTTACTTCAACGAGGAGTTGACTGCAGGCAGGGTGTAGGTCAGGGAAAGCCATGTGCACACGTGGCTGGCCGGAAGAACGCCCTCTTGTTTCATCGAGGCATACAATTGATGCACGTTCTGGTGCCATTTGGTTGTGCTGGTAACAGAATGGCGTGACGCAAGAGCACATGTTGTGGTGATTGTTTCGGATTTTGTCCATTGTGGTCCGTGGTGGGATGAGGGATGATTTGTTGGCACTGCGGACATGGGAATTGTATATTTGGAATCGGCTGTGCCATTTGCATTGGTGTATGTCGGCAGAGCACAAAAAGTTGCGGCTCTGGTCTGCTGCCCTGCGGCGCTGTGCAACTTGGCTCCTTTTTGCTACCTCATTTCCTACACGGATGCTGGCAGTTTCCTCATGCCGTGCGGAACTCTCAGAGCGGGATGGCCAGAACACGGTCCCTTCTATCGTCTTTGCATCTGGAGTTTGGCTCTCCTTTTGCCGAAGCCAGTTCGTTTTGTGCTTGTACCGCCTGCTCAAAATCGTTGAACGGCTTATCCTTGTCCTTATCCTTATCGCAACCCGACTTGGAGCCGGAAGTGATTTTTTTAGATTCCGAGTCAGCATTCTCATGTAAGAATGGACACCTGGCATGGGGTTTACGTGAGGTGCTGTGGGGCCCGTCCAGTGGCGTTCCTACGTTGGCGCCTCAGGCCACAGCGCCTATGTTGTTGAGCTCCAGTCGCCGTGCCCCTGTAGTCCGCCAACGCGCCCCGCGTGGCCCGCACGCCTTCACGGCAATGCGCAAACGCAGGCGCACTGACGATTGGGCTCTCCTTGACCCATCCCGCCCAAGATCGCGTCCCTGAGTCCCATGGGCTGCGCAGCCCTGGCCAGCGATCGCGGCCATCCTGGTCTCTCAGGACGAAACACGGCGTGCAAGATGAAAACCGGGCCCTTTTGTGAGCCACGGTGACCACTTAGAGGCCCTAGAGTCTGAATTTGGGGTGAAGCACGCAACAATAGTGGGCGGCATGGATGCGATCTCTCAAGCCATTGCCTTCGCGAGGCTGCCAAACGCCAGTGTTCGTACGCAAGGGCGAGTGGTGGAAAGTGTGCGTGGCTTCCCTCAGAGCCTGGCAGTTTCGCTGTGCACCAACTCAGCTTGTAGCCTTTGGAGCGATATGGGTTGTGCGGGAGTGTTTCTGTTGGTTGGGGCGTCTTTCCTGTCGAACGCCATTGGTCTCTGTCCCAAGATCTTCCTTGCGGGATTGTGTGTGCCCCTGGACTGGCAAGGCCGATCGCTCGCCTCCTTTATTGCCTTCTGCAGCCCGTTTTCGTCTTGCTGGCGGCACTTCGTCCTTGGCGACCACGGATGGCCGCGAACGCTGAACAGGGCTGCGCCACGCATGGGACTCCAGGGCGCGATCATGGACGGGATGGGTCAGGCGAAGCCCAATCGTCAACGCGCCTACTCTTGCGCGTTGCCGTGAAAGCGTCCGGGCCGCGCGGGGTGAGTTGGTGGACTACAGGGGCACGGAGGCTGGGGCTCAGAGACTTAGGCGCGGTGGCCTGAAGCGCCAACGCAGTCTGGCCACTGGGAACGCCGTATCGCGGGATGTAGAGATACGGCAGGTGGAGGTCCGGCAGGCCGCATTTAACGGGACGCGTCCGCCCTCCGGTTGACAGGTGGACACGCAGCCCGAGGGGCACGAGGCCAGATTCCCGGCGAGGGGCGAAGCCCCGAGCCGGGAATCTTGGCCGAGTGCCCCGAGGGCTGCGTGTCCACCTGTTAACCGGAGGGCGGACTCATGCGTGTCCCTACTCGTGCTCGTAGGGAACCTCACACGTTCCCACAGCGTGGGAACGCGTCCCTGGGGTGGGCCGGTGGCTGCGCCCGAAGACGGCCAGAGCAGGCTCGCAGCTATCGTTGTTGCGGCTGCGACGCGCCATTTGCGGTCGAGGCGCGCTTTGCAGGCGCGATTCCGCGTCTTGGCAGTGGTCTCACAAGGCAACGCGTCTCGAATGGGTGTGGCTATGGGGCGAGCGACATTCCTGAGGCCGCGGCCGCAGCCCTCGCCGAGCTGCGGAGGGCGGCGGAGGCGAGCGTCGAGGGCTTTCACCGTCGTTCCCATGGCGCCCAGCACCCGACCGTGCCCGCCGCGTGCTCTTTTGGTTCGATCCTGTGGGCGCATGCGATGCCGTGCAGCGACGGTGCAAGTTCCGTTCATGAAGTGGGAACGACGAAAGTGCAGAACATCGGGCCCAAGGCCCAACTTCTGGACTGGTGCAGTCACAACGCCCAGAAATCGGCTGCACTGGACTGGCACTTCCGAGACGGCCCCAGTAGCTTCCATCCAGCGCCGCGTTGTGCGGGTCGGTTGTGACCCTGCCGGCACCCGAGGTTGCAGAAACTGTCGGCACCCAGGCCTTGGTGGTCGCGGCCGTGGAGGGCACAGCTGTCCGACTGGGATGTGCATTACGCTAACTGCGGCAGGAGGTACCGTCGTTGACACCCGCCGTTATGGGAATACCGTTGCAAGCTGGATTAAACGATCGATCGACTGAGGCCACAGCGGAGATTCCTGGTGCGCACAGTTGCACTGCGAAGCTTCTCAAGTTCCCCATGCCTGTGCTTTCACCGCTGTGAGGAGCCCATTGTCGAGAGACCATCGAGTCTGTCAAACTCGTGATTGCAGCATTCTGTCTGGAACAAGAGGAGTGATATCCGTTCCCCTGTGAAACAGAGACAAGCTCTTCGCACCAAAGACGTTGCCTGAAGCTGGCTATTACAACGACAAATGGACATGCATTCGTTGAAATGGTCATCTCAGACAAAGAATTCGTCACACAGGCGCCCAGGGTCCTCGACCCCTTGAAACATGGCCACCAGGGGGCTGGGGCCCCGCAGCTCATCTCTGACCCGAACTCCGAGCCAAGAACAGTATGCACACACAGAGACCTGTGAAAAAATTTGCCATCAATCGTGCTCAAACGGCATCCCCCATGGGCACGGAGACTCGCAATCAGCGACCCACTGTCGCCAACCGCAACAAAAGATTGGCCAAACTACGCTCCACACAGCAGACAAGGAGCGCAGAATGGGACATCGTGAACTCGAATCTACCAGCCCGCAGAGCAGCTCGTTGCAGATGCACGGGGCACAAGTCCCACTGATCACCAAGACGTCCCCAGGACTGCATATCGTTCGCCCACACCCTTCCCAACACCCATCATGCATAGGGGGCACCCCATTTCGGCCCTTGGAGCGAATCCACCAACAGCACATGAACAGTGCCTTCTTATCTTCGCCCTGTAAGCCCATAATAAACATCACCGCTCACCACACCGCCCATCCCCCATGTGGACCCCACGTTGCGAATTAAATGTTGTCAGACTAACCCATACTAGCCGTGGTTCGAACCATATCCCACACGCAAGGAGATCGTCAAAGGTGACAGCACAAGAGCCCCACATCGTCTGCGGCCCAGAAATGGTCACACAGAACACTTCGTTCGAAACATCGCTGCCCAGTTGGAAAAAGCACGTTGTATTTTTGTCTGCCTTTCTCGTTTTTTGGCTCACAATAAACAAGCTGCCATGCATATTCACAGAGGCATTCCAGCTCAAAGGGACTCCATCACCCAACTGCCAAGCAGTAGCTCAGGGGAGTCCCTGCCCTGGCTAGGCATAAGGCCAATCATCCGCCTGGACCGCTCCTCAATGTCCCTTTCAACAACCAGTTCCATCTCGCTATGTATCCCATGCACCTGTGCAGAAGTGAGCCTCCCTAGTTTGTTGAACGCCACGTTCAACAGCTCGTTCGCACCAAATACGCGACGGAGCTTGTATGTAATAATCTGGGAGAGCTGTTGCATGTCAGTGGTCATCAAAATTGTGGATTCGCATTTCTGCAAGGAAACAAGCACAATGAGATCAGCCTTGAGTCCAACTATCTCAAAAAGGAACATCGACCTGGCAACTCGAGCAAAATCTGTCAAGACAGCGGAATGGTTCACAGGTGAGACACAGGACCCACAAAGGGCACCCTATCTGGGCAACCCGTGCTGCAAACATCATAAGTGGATCACGCATAGCAAGCAATAGTGAGCAGTGTCCTGCAATGGGTTTTCCTATTTCATAAAACGTCAAAAACAACAATGCAGACCTGCCACTCAAGCTCCAAGCATGGGACATTTGACACCCCACACCATGGCCATGAATGTGTGGAATCCAAAGCCCACTGTGCACCAACCTTGAGAAGAGCCAATGCCACTCTGAGCAGCACTTTCGGGCCCTCGCATATCAACGAGTCCCACACGCGCACAGCAGTCTGAAAGCCACACGCAGTTGCCAGTGTCAGCGGCTCACACCAATTGCACCATTCCTGCTGCAGGCGCACGGGGAGGTCACAAATAACAGGCCAACAGGATAAGCACTGCAGATCTGGATGCTGGTCGCAATAGTGAACGAACAACAAAACACTCAAAGGTCACTCGATGTGACCGTCCTCTTCTGGACCAGGCATGTCTGCACAGGAACTCTGTGCAGGGGAGGAGATCGCCTCTGGGCTCCAGAGTGGCGCCGTGCCTCATTCGAGGCGCTGTGGGGTGCGCGCTCACCTCGGCTGGAAGCGTCAGGACGAACAGGGATGAGAACCAGGTGCTGGTGACCGCAGACACGGTGCAGCCCAGCTTCATGCACTGCTTGTGCACCCGGGGCACGCGCTCTCGCACCAGCGCGCCCAGCACCTTCTCCTGGACCTTGCACCAGAACAGCATCTGCGCGCGGGGGCGGCAACAAACGAGGTCAGCGACCGCCGGGACGGTCCAACGAGCAACACCCACATCAACAGGACGGGCCGATAGACGGCCTGTTGGCGGCGGCCTGAATCCACAGAGCGCTGACGCCGGCCAGCAGCCACCCGCTGGTCGCCACGTCGATTCGCATCGGGGCAATGCGGACAGGGGCGGTGATACGAGACACCAGCAACTTGCAACGGGCCATTTCGCGACGGCGGCTCACCTGCTCGCCGGCCCCCCTGAAGAGGCCCTCCTCCACGATGGAGGCGTACACCCAGAAAGCGTCCTCCTCCCTGTGGAAGCCCATGACCGTGAGCACGAACGCCGCCGCGGCCGTCATGCCCGCCGCGTACCCCGCCTCGGGGTTGTGCCTCAGGAACGCGCTCAGCAGCCGCCGCACGGACCGCACGCCGTCCCCCTGCCGGAACGCTTCGTGGTGCCGGAACATTCGCTGCACGTCGCGGGACACCTCCAGAACCCCCGACGGCCCCTCCCCCGCCTCCACCGCCGCCGCCAGCCCCGCGTAGTAGCCCCTCGGCGCCTCGGCCTTCCTCAGCTTCGCGCCCGACAGAATCATCCAAACCTCGGGGCGAATCTCCGGCGGCAGGCCTTTGCGCACCACCGCCTTGAGCTTCCCCTTGGCGCAGTACAGCACCCGCGCGTCGCCCCCCTTGATCTTGCGCAGCCAGCCCTTAACCTGGCTCCGCGCCGCCGCATGCGAGGCCTCCCTTGCCCTCTGCTCCGCATCCGTGAGCCCAGCCAGGCTGAACCCAAACAGGTCCCTCACCGCCTCGCCGGCCAGGCCCAGCGACGCCATGCCGGTGCGCGATCCTCCCCGTGGCCGGCTGCCTCGCGCCTGCGCCGGCAGCGGGTGCAGCAGCGTGCGGGGAGGGCTGACGCGGACAGGCGCACCTCGGGCTGCCTCCCACCATCAAAAACACGACGGACAGCTCGGGGGCCGAACACCGGGGGGCCAACAACGGGCGGGCGGGACCGTCGACGATTGTGCCGGCGCGCGCCGCGGTGACAGAGTGGGGACAGAGTTGACGAGGGACAGCGGTTGCAAGGAGGGGCGGGGCCCGATTTGTGCGGGCCGCCGCGCACAGGCCGGTAGGAGGTTGATGGGAAGGGAGGAGGAACCCGCACGTGCCGCCCGATGGGTTCTTTTTGTTTGTTTCGGCGACAATGAATTGTTTTTGCGGCGGTGGATCTCTTGTGGCACTTTACCGCGAGAGTGGAAAAAGCTGTTCCTCTTCTTGAGGCAGCATGAGATTCCCAACGCGGGGATCGCGCAATTCCGCCAGGAGGGACCCTCGCCCCACCACCGACACAAGCACTGGCCAGGCGTATCAAGAACAATTTCACCAAAATTCCCATGCCTGTCGCGCACAACTTGCCCTTCGCGATTTACAAACTTCAGGGCTTTGCGCTTCACTGAGCTTAAAAAACGAACTCAACCTTCAAGGGATGGGCAGGTGGGAGTAAACAAGATAGGTGGCGGTCTTTCGGCAGCCTTCAGCCTTCAGGGCCCTGCCCACAGGCCAGGAAAAACCTCCAAGGCGCCCCATCAGAACGCAAGCCTTGGCTCTGTTGGCTTCAAAACTCAAGCCAAGATTCCAACAGATCCATTGGTCCGCATTTGAGCACGGCCAGTGGACCAAAAGGTTCAAACTGCCCTTCAGTACAGGCTACCAGAAAGCATGGCTGCCAGTACTGCCCAAAGCGCCTGGCGCCTGCAAACCTCCCACCTACGTCTCCCATATCAGCAACTCTTTGATCAATCGTTGAAACCGCACACAAGGCGGCATATGGCTGACGTGCAACCTGAGGGGAACGCATGAACAGAACTGGACAAGGGCCACAATATGCAGTCTCAGGGGTGACCCTGGGTTGGGAATCGGACTGTCCCCAAGACACTGCGAGTCGATGTCCCTGGCTGTCACTGGAATATCAACACGTAGCTAACCTCATCCACAGTAGGAAGATGCATCACTACATTGCGACTCATGCAGGTGTTGCATTCACTGCATTGGCTGTGGACATTGTGGCATATGCATTTCCTTTCCTGCAGATGCCGACTGTGGGTTGGTTGCTTCAAAGAGCTCTTTGAAAAAGTTAGGCGTTTTGGGCTCTGCGTTGACAAACGCCACTTGGAGGGGCATTTGTGCAATTTCACTGTGCCGCAGATTTGCACCACCCACTCTGTACGCCAAATGGAGTCCAACATGACAACATCGCTGCAGTACCACCCCAAACGGACAATGGTTACCCATTGTGAGCAAGCCAATTGGGCCTCAAGTTCCATGGAGAGTGGATGTTTAATCCAGTATGCCCAAGACCCAGGTTGAGGCTGCATGGTCACTTCTCATGCCGCTTATACTGAATGATGCTGCCACATTGCTGGTTGGCAGTTGGCCCAGCGGGGACGACCTCTTTCCACAAGCGAGTTGCATGCAGGCACGTGTCTTGACGAGCAAGGAGAGTTCATGTTGAAGCTCCAATACTCTTGCAACTGACACTGGAGGATGTCATGTGAACATCAACTTTAAAAGTACAGATAAACCGAATCCACCAACTCTGTCTATGTCCCTTCTATGATACGCGTTCAATTTCCGCGTTCGCCTTGACAACTTGATTGCCCAGGGTAATCTTTGTTCCCCAGCTCTGCTGTGTGCATTCTGTCGTCAGACCTCCTCTTTGTACGATTTCCATCGTCCGACTTCCTGTTCGACTCTGAGCTACATTGGACAACGTATGAGTCATCCTTTCTGGCAGTCGACGTGGATTCAGGTGGATCCTGCAGGGACAGGCACATAATCGTCAATATTTGGTGTCTAGGATATGTCTACAATAGCAATTACTGCTATATGCAGCACAAAACAATTTCAATGTGCCAAAACCATACCTGCGGTTGCATTGCATCTTAAAGTACGGTGATGACATTGAACATGCAGCTTTCAGTGCACTGAAATGCCACAAAGAATTACTATCGACTTGTCCCCGAGTCCTGGAGCCTCCAATGCAGACTGCGTTATAACACAGCTGCCCATGGTTTTGGCAGGCTCAGACCATCCTCAAATTGTACAGAACCCATTCTTCCAAGGCAAGTCGTACATGGTGCATGCATTAGGGCCTTGGTGCATTTCACAGTAAAGACAGCACCACTCACCCCGTTTGTCCAACTACAACGAGTTCGTGTTTTGCTAAGCAACCAGCCTGGTCGCACTGTGTTTCAGGTGTGAAATGAGCAGAGTCACCACGACACTGTTGTAGTCCAAACTATATTGTCCGAACCCGAATTCCCATACTGTTCACAACAGAAGCCAGCATAAACAATCCATGTTGTCATCATAAACAATCTATGGATGAATCAGCATCACCCAAAGCTGGAGCTTCTTACTGCGTGGCAACTGCAAAGCACTGTTTTCTCAGATTTCGAATTCGACATCACACATCAGTATTCAATAAGTATCTGTTGTCTTCTGCCTGTAATGGAGAGCCACAGGAGAAAGCATGCTAAACCCCAGCTACCAATCAAACAACAAATCAACTTCGATTAGTCCCTCTGGCATTATGCTACCCACCTTGTCTCTTTCTGCAATGCAGCCATTTCCAAGGTCCTTGCATACAGCATCAATCGTGGGCGGCGCTGTTAGTTGGCCCCGTAACCATGCCTCAGGACTGGCGTATCTAACACACACGTGCACAGCCAGCACAAAACATGGGTGCAGGCAAAGGCTACAATTTCTGTCTCCCTGCAGTTGATTGGTTCGTTCTGTCTACTGGTGCAATGCTGGTAAACGAAATCAATGGGGAATTTTACAGCATCATGCCTGCAAACAATTTTCGGACACATGCACATTGGGAAATGGATGATGCTGCAGAGACTGTAGGTGTGGGTGACTGTGGGTGAGACTTTGGGCTTGTTTCCACATCAATCACAATTGAACACAAGTTGGGTAAAGCATGCTTGTATATTGTATATACACAGAAATAAAGAAACAACCAAGATGGCAGAAACTGTAGAGGGGCATCACATATCACAAACATACCTGATCTTCCTCTGCTCATACTGCTCAATTTTGGCTCTGAGGGAAGGCATACCCGGGTGGCACTGGTCCCCTTGTTGGGCTAGTAGTGTGTGGACAAAATTTTGAAGCTCGCTCCGCAGAAGACTTGCATTGCGCCGCTTGAACCACCCTTCCTGCAGAAATCCTGGAAAGCCTCCATCTGAACAGCACAGACACCAACATATGTGGGTAAAGACAAATGAAGGCAATTCCTCCATGACCTTCAGGATGGGACTAGGGGTATGACCTGTGCATCCACTAAGCCATTTACCAATGTCAGTGACCCCAAAACCCATGTGACTTGCTTTTCTGCACTGGGATCTTACACATAGGACTCCCACAGTTCTTCATAAAAATTGTATGTAACAATCAAACAAACAAAACAATGTTGTACAGAAATGTCAAAGCAAGAAAACACACAACTCTTTCTTTCTGCAGACACATCAAAGCCCTGCACTGACAGCACAGTTTCACAACCACACGGCATCTTTTTAAGTATGGTCCACTGGGAGATTGCAAATGTGTATCATTTGCCCACACCAAAAGATGCAATAGTTACCATAGGAATTCGATGGCAATGGCAGGTAGGTGGAGATGGCTCACCAACAACATAGCATTTGCTTTCCGCAAATTGCAAGGGTTCAAAAAATTGCAATGTATGCCCTGTGCAGCTCAATCACAGCAAGCTTGGCCCAATTTGAATGCAATTGACTACATTTGTCGTGAAATGACAATGCACAGAACTTACCACCAAGCAGTCCCAGTTTCCTGTGGTCAACTATATTGGGTGCACCAAAAGAGAAGAATTCAAGGTAGGTGAGCATGAAGAGACCGCAGTCATAGCTGTTGATCTGTCTGGGAATGTGGTCCACTCTCCTCCCTGGAATTGTTTGCTTGGAGAATATACGCTTCTTAGAATCGGGATGCTGTGGGCAACAGAACCAGCAGCCAGAACAATCAAAACAGCGAAACCAGGCTAAAATCAGTTGTCCCCAACAGCCCTGATGGATATGCCACCACATTTCCGTTAGGTCAATGCCTGTCAGTGGATTTACACCTGTCACCGCCTGCAGGGTGCAAGAGCTGTGTTTTGCCTTGGGAGAACAAATGTATTCAAGGAAAACACTCAACATACATGGCTCCTTACCAACCATAAAACCATTCTGAAACCATGCTGTTTTCAAAATAAATGCTGCCCCCAGGATAAGTCTCAGCATTCTTGCACGCAAAACCAAGCATTTTGAGACCATTGACAGGGCTCTGGCCATCACTATTGAAGAAACCCCTGGTTAAGGAAGTTCAGAGCAAGCAAGCGATGTGTAAATGTGCCAATGAAAACCTTAGAGTACGCTGCCAGGCACTCCATCCTCTCACACAGCAATGTTGTTATCAGGTTATTTAAGGCATCCAACGGCATTTGCAGTTGGTATCCTGATAACTCACCTTCCTTTCCCATTCTCCCTCAAGGTATCTCCGCAAAACCCCACTGACTTCTGCTGTGGAATGACCATCTGAAGAGAAAATTTAAAAATAGAAAACAAGCACACACAGAATCAGGAATGTTGTATTGCAGTGCATAGCACAGCAGGAAGCGATGAACAATGCTGACATTTGCAAAACTTCAAACATGGAAGCAGACTTGTTACTTTTTGATGCCGTCAGTCGTTGTCCAGGAGATCCCGCATTTGGATCCCAAAACACCGAAGCCCAGTTAATTGCTGGTCTTCTACGTGTCTGAATTACCTTGAAGCGAGTCAAGATGGAGGATGCAAGGCAACTGGGTCTGGCCTTTGCATTTTGTTGTGCACTCAGCTCCTGGATGGCAAATCACCGCTAGGGACCAGTGCAAGGAACTGTGAACTGGAACAAAAACAAATTGTTTCTCGAATAAATCCACATCCTGCACAACACAGGAAACATTTGGAGGTCCGCCGCTGAAATGTGGCATAAAGCACCACGCAGGAATTGCGAGACAGGTGTACACTATGGGAATGAAACAATTGCATGGCAGTGTCTACAGAAGTCATATGTTCATACGACACAAAAGGGCATCATCACCATGGTACAGTTTTCCAAGGCTGCTCACTGGACTAGATAAGCGATGTTGAGCATAAACACAGGCTGCACTGAGCCAAAAAACTGTGGAAGGAAATTTGGCAGTAACCCATGGGGCATCAAGCAGGGCATACAAAGTGAGGGCGACTGTCAATCGCAGGCAATCGCCAGTTGGCATTATGGCACATTCAATCAGGAAATGTTATTTTCTCAGCTGTTCTCAACAGTTTACCTTTGTCCACTTCTTTAAATCGACACCTTGGTTTGCTTCACTTTCCACAAGTTTGGTGTAGAAAAAACTGCGAAAGAAATGCTGTTGAGTGGAATGCGCATTGTCTTCTACATGCCTGCCCAAAGCAAAATACGTGGCTCAGGATACCAACAATTGCTAGATGGTCAAATGCAGGACTACACTCAACCTTTTTGTGATGCTGTACAATGCAGCTCAAGTTCTTCAACAACGGACACACGCAATAGCCAACCACTCACAAACATCCAGATCTCTGGGGTTGATTGAGCATGAGAGCTATGAGGAAAACTTTTCAGACTAACAGTGCCATGCACGATAATTGCCTTCAAAGGTCTTCAGCCAATGCTCTGTATGGGGACACATTTATTCCAAAGGATCGCACAACAACCAAGATGACAGCTAAAAATTTCTGCACGCCAACAGCTGAAACGAACTTTTTACAACAGTGCAGGAACTTTGCAATCATCAGCTGTCGCTATTTGTTCTGTCCCAAGCATGGTGCAGTGTAGCTCACTTGATGTACAGATCAATCAGAGTGTCATTAATGAACTCGTCACGCACAACCCACTGCAGGTCCTCAGCAGTGACTGCCACAGACCCTGGGCCCCCTTGGGGAGGGTATAATGCTCGTAAGTCCTGCAGCAACATCAATGCCAATAGCATGAGGAATGTCTTTTTCATTGCAACAGCATTCTATGGGCTCATCTTGCCCGACCATGATGTTTTGAAGCAGTTTTCAAACAGTACAGCTGATGAATATCCTCCAAGCACAGCAGAAAAGGTACACAACAAAGACCAACGTCACCTTAGGAATTGCAAGGGACAAAGTGGTATTAATGACCACCAATGCAAACCGCATCCAACAACATTGTGGCAATTAGAAGGAAAATAACAGTTGGCAAGAACTTTGCTTGGTCTCAAGGGATTGGCTGCCTAAATTTCTCTTAAACTGCAGAAACCCACCAAGAATTCTTCAAAATACTTCCTGCCCCAACTTCGTTTTCTTTTCTTGACCTCCCTGGCTGTTGTCTCGGAGGCATCACAGGGGGTATCCATCTCCTTGTCAGAATCGCAGAGATCCACCGTTTCACTCTGTTCAGCCAGAACAACAAGCTTGAACATTGGGATTGCTTATGCTGTCCACATACACCTACAATTATTTTTCTCAATTTTGTGCACTGTATTTGGAGTATACAGTGTGCATTTCAAATTTGTCAACGTCAGCTCAGGGCCGCCCGGCCACTATGCCTGAACCCAAAGCACCCATGTCCACAACCTTTCATCATTTGCGCTGCAACTACCAGTCCACAAATGTTGTGGAGCATTAGAGTGAGTCAGCCAAGATTCCGATTAACGATGGCACTGGCATTGGGATGCATGCCCTGAGTGTCAAACACCAAGCAGACCAATCCTCACACTATATCTCACCGGTGCATCACCTCTGGAAATTCTCAATTGCATTGATCTGGTGCAGATTCTGGACAGTGGCAACACTTGCCCTGGCTTCTCAGAATTGTGTGTCCCACGACAATTCTGATTGTCTCCAGCCCGTTGCAAGCGAACGGCCCTTGGCTTGAAACTGAATGCATCAGTGGAACATCTTTTCCTCCGCCCATGCCCTGTCTGGTGGCTTCGACTACAAGGATGCACCTTTTGCGATTTAACAGGAGCTTTAGATGGCTGTGTCAAATCCTTATTCATGGGTCGCCTTTTCGGCAAGGGACCTTGGGTTTCAAAGGGTCCTGCCTTGCACAAAGCAAAGTTAAGAGCGTTGTGGACACAGCCATCAGCCGCAAGCTTGCAAACCTTTCCATGCAAAAGCAACATCACATACAATCCCTTGCACTGGACAGTCCTAGGTATTGGCAATTGACAACACTGTGTGTCATAACACCACATAATGCCTTTCATCACCTTTCATATGAATGGGCAACATTTCGATTGTGGCAAACTCAGTCAAAGAGGCATCTCGCAACAGAAGAGATACAGGTCAACATCGATCCTGTGAAAATGCTGTTGTGCTGAGCTGGCTTTCCCAAGCTCTTCAAAACTGATTTCCAGATCACAGTTTGTGCGCTTTGAGGCATGTGGAAACAATCAACTTTCGGCTTCACCTGCCCTATTTCCTGATCGTGAGCTTCCAGGTTGGACACACTTCTGTTCCTGCACATTGCAAAAAAGACATAAAAGACTTGCACAACACCAACATTGAACCCAGTAACTGGACAATGAATAGCGCTGCAACATGCTGCAATGCTATATGACTGGTCAGGCACTTATCAGTACATTCCAGGGATGGATGCACTCCGAAATTCTGCACAATATTAACCTCTGGGCACGACATTCCTTGCCCTCTTGCAAGGCAGTGCCTTTCCCTCTTGCCATTGCTCTTAAAGACTTCCTGATCATCTGCAACAGTGTTGGACAAAAATCTAACAGTATCTTGCGCTGGCTTGGTATGGCCATTGTGTGGCATATTAAGTTCTCATTCAAGCTTTGTTATGGTAAGGCATCCGTGGACCATGCAGTCTTCCCCAGAGAACAGAGAACGTCAGTTTGGTGTATACAAGGGGGATGGTTTCGCTATGGAGATGACTTGACCCAAGTGCTTTTCCAAAGGAATCAGTGACAACTTTGTGTTTATTCCAAAGTGACAACAACTACCACAAACGAATACAACGATGTCTATCCATGCACCGCTCACTGCAGAGCCAACATATGTGACTATTGACCAACGTGGGTGTCCTTCCCATAATCTACATTTGCTCCTTGCTAGAATCCACCAAATACTCTCCACTAAGGGGTACTAACTCCCCAACTGTACGTTGCAGCGGATGTCGGCAAATGGGCTCAGCAAACCACACCTGTTATTCAGGGAACCCCCTTGCAAAGCCAGACTGATCGGGTGGTCAAAAATGAACATTGCTCGATCAATTCCATTCGTTTTGAAGGCAGAACAGCACACACCCCTGATCGTAAATAGCAAGCACCCACTCCTGATCGAAAATAGCAAGGGCTCTTTTCCATACCACAAGAGGATAAGAAAGTATCCCGAGGCATGGGATTAAGCTCATTCCAACGAACACTACCCAGCAATAAACATGCACTGATGGGCTGTGGTCCATCTCTGGCTGTCGTTTTAACTCAAAAGGAACTACGTCACAAGACTGGAAATCCTTCCACTGTAAGAGCCTTTGCGATGCTCTTTTCCGCAATGTGGATGATGATCCACAACCCGTCGAGTGCAACAGGAACCCCGCACAGCACAGAGCACAGTGAATGGCACAATCGCGCACCCGGCACCTGTCCACCAGCAGGACTGCAGCCCATCGCCCCTGCATTGGGCACCCCGCAGCCCTCACACCTTGCTCGCTTCCCTCCGCTTAGCCAACTCCGCGTCAATTTTCGCCACCAGGTTGCTGGCCGAGGTCCCTCCATCAGGCAGTGTCCCAGTGTCTATCATGGCCAGCATCCTGTTCTTCTTGTCCAGGAGCTCCTTTGTGGACGTCGACTCTAGAGCCTCGCAGGCCATGACGGACAGCGGGGCCGCCGCCCCCCACGCCTTGATTGTCAAGCGCCTCGCATGGGCTGGCAGGCGGAGTGCGTTTGCCTCCGGCAGTCGACCTGGATTGGCGCCAAAACGAGAAGTTCGCCAGTGCCCCCGTACGCCTGTGCCCTGGGCCGGCGTGATTTCGGCCAGCTGGCCGGCGCCACGTCGGAGCGGATGCCACATCGGAGTCCCCCCCCTCCGGGCAAGGTACTGTTTTCCAGCACCAAATTCGGCGGAATTTCATCACCATGTCTGCGAGGTTACGTTCTGGTGCTCTGTGCTGGGCACGCCACCGGAAACGGATGCCAAAGGTCCGCACCCCCCATCTGCCGGCACTCTGTGGGCAGCCAGCAAGTTTTTGGCAAGAACTCACGGGGCGCCCGTCGGGCAGCTGTGCATAACAAAGGTGCTCACCACATGATGATGGTTTTGTGGTGGCGCTCATGCACATTGCCTACACTATAGCCAAGATAAACGCAATCGGCCTTGAGAGGAGGCTAACAATGACCCTGGCTAGAGGTTCGAGGCATAGAATGCAAATTGCAAAGGGTTGTGTTGTGCTTGCTTTGAGGTTGCTGGTTTGAGGAGGTTACGCCCTTTAACACTAAATGTCCCAATGCATCACGACGTGTTTGGTGATGCTGAGAATATAGCGTCGGACATGTAGGCCAAGTCAAAATTTCCACAGCAGCTGTTAATTGACCGCAACTCTCCAATATGCCTGAACTCCCAAACGTATGACTATCACGCTCCAATAAAACAATTTCGTTTGCAAGGCTAGAACAAGTTCAAAAATTAGAATGCAATATGAAGTAGTTTGCATTGAGTTGTCTTTGGACTCTTGGAATAGGCTTTCAACTTTGAGACGTTCACACCCTGTGACCACGCATTGACCAAGTGATACGAAAAGTCTGTGGGTGTGGGGTTCCTGCCCTCTTTGAGCCACGGACCCACCTCGCCGGGCACCTAGGTCCTTACGGGGCACCTAGGCGGGACCACCCCTCCTACTCCCATATCCATATAAGTATAATGGTTACCGTGGGACAAGGAATACGATACGATCTTGGGCAGGGCGTCCCCCACACCAAGGGCCAGTAGTAGGGCGTCCCCCACATCAGGCCGGTGCGCGTAACATTCGTCCCCCTCAGAGAGTGGGGCGTCCTCATCCCATTATGTGGATATGGGAGCAGAAACTTTATGTGTATGTGAATAGAACTGGTTGTGCGAATTGCCACATGCCCAGTTGTGAAACACTACACAGTTAAGGGTGAAGAGAAAGAGTGGTTGTTTTTACATGACCTCCCGGTCTTCACAACCCTCATTAAGACTCTTCCTCAGCCACATGGCTAGCATGTTCGACCTCCCGGCCTATGATCTGCGACCCCTATAGTGGGAACCACCAAATGCCCATGCAGGTGTGCGCCGGCCCGGTGCGGGACCTCGTCCTCGCCCGCGGCCACACACACGCACAGCTCCACGAGAGGCCGGCACGAGCGGGTCGTCAATGTCTAATCTTTCTCCGTTCAAGATCGCAACGGACATGGCGTTCATGTGTCCGAATTGCGTCTTGGCACGGGGGGCGGTGTACCCAGTGTTCTTCTGGGCCCATCTCAGGAGAACCTGTTAAAGCATAGTCACACATGAACATGTCTCAGTATGTACATCCCGTACTTTATGCCGTTTGCATTCGCATCATAGGTGTTCTGCCATTCTCAAATGCTTGAACCAATTCCTGTGCATTTGCAACTGACTTTGCTGATTCCCAGCTGTTATGCTCATGTCCATACCCCAACCATTTGACAAGGTACTCAACATAGTTTTTGCGTCTCCCACGCTTTTTAATTCTTTTGTCAAGGATACGTTCAACTTCATACTCCAGTTCACCTTCAATTTCGATAGGTATTGGGGGTGGTTGTACTCTGCCACTTGCCTTATAAGGCTTGATTTTTGAAACATGAAACACTGGATGTATCCTATGCATTGTCGCGGGGCTCTTTTAATGGCCTCCGCTGGTCCCTTTTCTCCGGCGCGCGTCCCACTTCATCCGCCTGCACCCGGTCGGGCCGATGGCCCCCTCCACCGAACCCGGCGGGCGTAATCGGGGTGCTCGCTCGTTCGTTGTGCGGTGGGCCCTCTTGCGCTCTGGGATCGGGCGGTCCTGCCATTCGAAGACGGCGGGTTGCGAGGCAGCTTGCTCCCCGGGCCGCGAGGCCCGTGCGGAGCGCGGCAGTGAGCCAAAGCGGGTAACAGAGCGGGGAGCAACGCACCCCCGCGTACGTACTGGTGGTCGGCCACATTCCGGCCCGGCCACCCATCACACAGACACCACACAATGTACATCAGTGCGTCACGACTGTATCGCCCGGCATACCCCCGTATCGGACCCACTATCGATACACCGCAGCCCAGTCTACCCCCACGGGCTGTCCCTTAGGTACAGGGACTTCCCGAGACCACCAACTACTCCACAACTAGGGGATTTAGACAAGTAAAGAGCCTACGAGTATTTAGAGATCATAAGGAATCCAAATAATGGGTCCAATCCCACAGATGACTAACCAACCAAGACTAATGGCCATAAATCTCTCGACTCCCATGTGTTTCCACAACAATACTTCCCCCTGGGGGGAGTTTTCGCCCTCGAAAACAAGACCGAAATCAATGTCCTCTATCGGCTGCCCAATGGTTGACCTAACTGTGAAGCTAGTATCACCTCAGGCATACTCCACTGACCATCTGTCTAGTCCCTCTGTGAAATTTCGGGATATGTTCCAGTGTACAAGAAAATCAACTGACCTTCTTGTTATTGGGACCTCTTCAGTACCACTGCAACAGCTGCTCATCTCAAAATCTCCAAGTCAGGTCTCTCCCATCACTATGTCGGATGTACACTCGTGTTCATCTTGAAAGCAGAAAAGATGAAATAATGTGACCTGTGCCCGAATACATCAGGTCAGCACGAGTGCTATCTGCCTGTACACTAAGTGTGTTGCCAGTCGACCAGGAGCATCCGAATATCCACTACCTGACAAATCTGATATAGAAATAGACAACATATGAGCCAGTTGTCCATCTAGGGATCGGTGTAGATCTACTGATAATCCTCTCTGTCCGAATCCCTCAGATGAATCTCTCTGAAGTATATTTTCCTCTTTGAAATTGCAGTGTACCTTGGTCATTTCATCTCTATATCCACCATGACAAGGTATCCCAATAAAAGATTTCTCGACTCCTCACTGCACAAATCGATCATAGTCCTCTATCTATCTCAGCCCAATCATCAATCAGTAAAGCATCGGTCTGGCCTCAATATCCGGTGTCCCATACCACTATCAATCTTACCAGCACCAAGCCTCCTGTCTCAAGGACTGAACATAAATCAAACTCCCCTCAGATCTGAAGACAATGATGTAATCATGAAAACTCTTATCACCCGGCGCTGCTCACAATAATCCTTTCAGATAAACACTATGACCAGCCCGCTATCACCATCAACAATCTAGAGTCTCCAATCATACAGATCATGCACCACTGTACTGAGTCAACAAAATCCCAACACCATGGAAACAAAATGAATAGCCGCAACTCCTCTCTCAAAAGAATAAACACTCGTGTTACAGAATCGTCGGACTTCCCACGTCGGCCGCGTTGAGTTGCGTGGGCATCCGCCCCATGACGTCGGCGTGCGTCGGCATTCGCAAATGCCGTGGGCAGGCGTGGGCCCATGGACGAGGCCCGACGTGGCCCGCCACGGCGGCCAGCCGCCGTGTCGGCCCGTGGCCCGCGCATCGGGATTGCCACGTCGGCTGGCGTGGCAATCCATCGCGTGCGTCCCGCGCGCCCCGCCGCTGCCGGCGTGTCCACCGCCCGACGCGCGCCCACGTCGGGGCTCATCGGGCTCCCCCCACGCCGCCCACACACCCGGGATCCCACGTGGGCATCTGTGGGCTCTCATTCGCTGCGTCCCTTGTGCAACCATACCTGCCCACGCATTCATCGTCCCTTATCTCGTGCATCGGCAGGCATCGGCCGCCACCGGTGCCTGTCGGGCGCCATCGGCACCCCGACGCGTGCCGACGCCCCAACCAGGCTCCCCGGCTGCCCTTCGCTCCAAATCGGAGACAGGGGCGCAAGGAGAGCGGCATGGTCTGCAGTGGCGACTTTGGTGCTGCCTGGCGGGACGCGGCGCTGCTGTTAAGGGATCCGCGTCATATAGGGCGAAGGTAGGTTTCCGCAATTGCGAGAGAACTGGGGTGGATTGTGTGACGGGCAAGGGGCGCCTGGGTGTCGTAGCAGGATCGGGCGATCGCTGGGACGCAAGCCGCCGGGATTGGCTGCTTGAATGCCCTGAGGGCGCAGTGCTGTTAAGGGATCTGCGTCATACAGGGCGAAGGTAGGTTTCAGCAATTGCGAGAGGACTGGGGCGGATTGTGTGACGGGCACGGGGCGGCTGGGTGTCCGAGCAGGGTCGGGCGATCGCCGGGACGCTAGCCGCCGGGATTGGCTGATGGAATGCCCTGAGGGCGGAGTGGCGGGTGTGATGATGCAGGAGGTGTCGGCGGAAGGCATTCAACCCTGGACCTGGCATCTTCTACACGGACCCCCCCCCCCCGCTGGCAGCCCCAGCATGCTTCTCTTTCGAGGATTCCATCGGGCGCTGGGCCGCGCGGCGGCGTGGACCTGCACTCCTACGAGGTGGAGCTGCTGTCAAGCGAGATCTCCCGCAGTGAGGTCACGAGGGAGAGCCCCCCTGGCGTCGGTGTTCGAGAGCCACACCGGTATCCCTGTGCAAGGCGCAGACGCACAGCGCCTACGAGAGCCAGATGCTGTCTACCGGCGACTACGGGGCGTCATGCCGCATGTGGTCGATGGGCAGCCTGTCAGAGACCAACTGTGGAGTCGGGGCAGGGCCCACGCTGTGCGCCGCACCCCGGTCTGCGTGTGTCGAAGGGCTTTCCTGTGGGCGACTTGAAATCCACGGA